TTTGGCATTTCCTGACTGGAGAGGTTGTTACACATTTAAACTGTTGTAACTTATTTATCCAGACTCTAAGTTGCTGAAAAGTTCTACTTCATTTTTCCTTTAGGAAACTTCTGAGTTCTAAAAATACTCTATTCCAAACATGTCTACTAAATCAATGTCATCTTAAAGATACAAAACAGTACATCTAGAGTTGTAGTTTTTCAGGCTAGATGGAAAAACTCAAACTTTCTCTAAGCAGTAAAGCAATACAATAAAGATATGCATATGCAATCTTTATTGCAATCAATCATATGCAATACTAGGGATTTCAGCACTTGTTTATTTCTAATGTAATACTTTAACTTATTACTTCAAACAACACTAATCTATTAGTCTCCTTATCATGCAACATCTAAATTAAGCTACTCCTAGTGTTGGCTTTGTGGTTTTAGCAATTCATTTGCTGGGTACAGTTTTAGAGAACAAGCTTAAGCTTTCCTACAAAAGCATAATAGTCAGGTGGGGTATCATGTTCACTACTGAGATAACAGCACTACATGCTAGCAGTCAAGAGGTATGACAGATGGGGGGAGACAACTTAGTTGTCAAAGTGTACCAGAGATTATGAACGTGCCATTTAACAATATTTTATAATGCCTTACTTAAAAAGCAAAAACTTATTTTGTAATAGGAAAATTTCTCTAAGAATGAGAAGACTGAGATTGTTATAAAATAATATTTTCAAAATGGCTTTTAATCTGAAAAATAAAACCATCCAAAATGATTGACTGATCATCCAAAGTACCACACAAATTCTAAGTCATCATCGATTCAAAAGACCACAAGAAGACAAAGACTATACTTTAGTGCTTATTTCCAAGAATGTGAAGTGAGTGCACTTAGCACTCACACCTGATTGAAGTGGTAATTCAGAGTAAAGTCAGTTTTGTACATTGTACTAAGGTGAATTGTCTCTCCCCAAGTTTGGCTCTACCTAGAGCCCCAGAATATAACATATTTGGAAATGGAAGGTTTTCAAATGTAATTAAGATGAGGTATATTGGATCAGGGTCAGCTTAAACCCAGTGGCTGGTATCCTTTTAAGGAGGCCATATGAAGACAGATAAAAGCACAGAAGAAAATGACATATGGGGGATAGGGTAGAGTCTGGAGGGAAGTGTCTATAAGCCAAGGGGTTGGGGGCAACCAGTAAAAGTTGGAAGTGGCTGCTTTAAACCACTTAATTTGTGATACTTTGATTTGGCAGCCTCAGCCAACTAGTGCTCACACCAAATTCTATCTTACTAAAATCACTTATATAGATCATATGTAGTCCATCTTAACACTGGCACCTTACAATTATAAACAGAGGCTGAAAAAAGTTGACCCAAGCAGGTCTGTTTTATGCTTCTCTCGATTTCTGCCTACAAAATGAGGAACAGTGTTCATATGCTGGGAATAGTTAGGCAGCAAATATTTGGACATTTTTGACTAATTTCTAACTAGAGATTAAACTAGTATTCAAATCAGAACATACCTTGCTCTTCAGAACCAGGGGGTTTCTTTTATAAATCCATACATAATAATTGTACATTATTTGTAGAGAATGGTGTAATGTGCCAAGAAGTAGACATTGGGCAGCAATCAAATCAAGATATTTAGTATATCTGTCACTTCTTACATTTATCATTTTTTTGTGGTAAGACTACTTAAAAATCCTCTCTTATAGCTATTCAGAATTAATCCATATGATATTGTTAGCCAAAGCCACCCTACTGGGTAGGTGATTGTCAGATCACCTTCTTCCCAGCAACTCTGGACCAACATCTTCCCATCCTTCCACCAAGGGCTTCCCCAGCTGCTCATTCTTCCTACTCAGTTTCTGTGAGATGGCCATTAGATCCCACATATGGGTGACATCATGCTACAGCTGTCTTTCTGTGTCTGGCTCATTACACTAATCATAATGGTTTCCAGGTTCACTCATGTTGCTGCAAATGACAGGCACTTCAACGCCACAGTAACTTTGTTCCCTCCAAATTCTAAGAAATGCTAAACTTGTTTAAATTTAAAGCCATGACTAGGGCAAACAAAGCCCTCAGATGGTCTTTAGTCATCCTTAGGAACTTCTTACTCTTGTTTGTCAGCTTCTGGTCTCAAACTTAGATATTTAGAATATTACTGGATTAACAAAAATAACATAAAATGGTTCCCTGGGGCTCAGCAACCTGAGAGAATTCATGACCCTCGAAACTATGCCTAGTGGTTGTCACTACTAAAGACCCCGCAAAACAAAACAAAACATACCCAGCATGGGGTATAGAATAGTGGAAGAAGAAGATATGGGTGAATAAAGTTTTGAAAGTTTCTCCCCAAGAACTGTTCATCCCTACTTTTTCTTGCTTTAAAGTTTAATTTGTTTACTATTATTATTATTATTATTATTATTATTATTATTATTATTATTATTATTATTTGTGTGTGTGTGATGTGTATGTGTTTGGGGGGAAGGGGTCCATGCTATTACATGTGTGTGGAGGTCAGAGGCAATTTTGTGGTGTTGGTTTTATCCTTCTACTATGTGGGCTTTGGGCATCAGACTTGGCAGCAAGAACCTTTACTGGCTCTTTTAGACAGTCTCACTATGTAGACTAGGCTGGTTTCTAACTTGTGATCCTCCTGCCTTTGATTTGAGGAGATCTTGTACATGCTAAACAAGTGTTCTACCACTGAGTCACACCCCCAATCTGTGCCCATGTCTAAATTGTATTTTCTAGGTCCCTTACATTCTAAAGTCAGAGGTCAAAGGGTAATTTACAAGAGCCGATTATTTCCATCCGCTATGTGGGTTCCAGTGATTGAACTCAGGTCTTTAAGCTTGGTAGAAGACACCTTCACCTGCTGAGCCATCTTACCACTTCCACACTCATTTTAAAGATTTTATTTAAAATTATGTTTATAGCTAGGCTTTGGTGGTACACACCTTTAATCCCAGCACTTGGGAGGCAGAGGCAAGTAGATCTCTGTGAGCTCAAGGCCAGCCCAGTCTACAAGAGCTAGTTCCAGGACAGCTTCCAAAGCCACAGAGAAACCCTGTCTTGAACCCCCCCAAATTGTTTATATACATATGTGTATGTGTGAGTATGGGTCTGTAAATACAGTTGTCTATAGAAGCCAGAAGAGGGTATTGGATATCCTGGAGCTAGAGTCATAGGCAGTTGTAAGCTGTGATGATGTGGGTGGTGGGAACTGAACTTGGGTCTTTTGGAAAAACAGCAAGTGCTCTCTCTCCAGTCACTACACACATAATTTAGAACTGTTTATTGTAGCAGTTAATGAGCTTTGATTTATATATACACTATATAAAAAGCCAAACCAGGGAGGGGTAGATGGCTCAGTGAGTAAAGTGTGCACCATGTAAGCATTAGGGCTTGAGCCTAGATAAAAAGCTGGGCTCAGCACTGTGTCTGTAACCTTAATGTTGGAAGATCCCTGCAGTTCATCTAGACAAATCAAAATGCGGCAGGCTTCGTGAGAGACTCTGTCTCAACAAATAAGGTAGAGAGTGAGTAAATAAGATACTCCGTGTCAATCTCTGGCTTCTACATGTAGGCATATACATATGCACATGTATCACACAGCCTCAAAAATGTTACCTTTCACCCCCACACAGAGTCAAACTAAAGAAGGAAATCTGATAATTTAAGGTGACCAAATTTATGGACAGAAACCACTGTTCACTAACTCTAATTATATAGTGTAAAGTTGAAACATCATACAACATTTTTAGCTTAGCTTTCCCCATAGAGGTCCTCATCAAAATAGGGCTCTACAGGACTTCAAAGGAAAAGATTTGTGCCTGACTTAGCTTGAGAAATGCTATTAAATACATCTCAAAAGGGTTCTTTGTTCAGAACATTTCAGCACTGTTACTATAATTATGCCCATTCTGAATCCTATATTTAGTCATCAAATAACCAATCAGTTCAAGTCTTTTCTCCCTTCCTGTCATAGTATTAACTAGCAGAAGAATGTTCCATAGAACATCCTGTAAAGTTTTGCTTTAGTGCAGTCTGCACCCTACGGTGGGTGAATCAAGTAGTACCAAATAGTTTCAGGTCTTCCAAAGCAAGCTTTGTTCTCTGATTAAGGCAAAGAGCTTCCTGCAAAAATGACAGATATCTACTCTTACCATGGAACCATCCAAGATTTCACTGCAGAAATCAATCAAGTTTTCTGACACTACACTGAAGGCAGGCATGGATAGTCACTTTCTGTTCCTATTCTTTTCTTTTTCGGGACAGGGTCTCACTATGCAGTCTTGGCTGGGTTGGAACTCTTTATGTAGATCAGGCTGGCCTCAAAACCACAGAGATCTGCCTCCCTCATGCTGAGATTATGGGTATGGGCCACCATACCACACCTGGTTTAACAACTTCTTTTTTTTTTTTTTTTTGGTTTGTTTATTTGTGTCCTGTTGAAGAAGCCTGCCAAATTTAATGATGGGATATCCCCTTACATTTGAAGAAGATCCAAATTTATGAATCCCAATTATATTAAATATTTATGTGTATGAATATATCTAGTCCATTGCACAGTATCTCAATTAATTTTATTACTTCTATATGCATGCTTGAGGAATAATGTTTTAAGGCAATAGGAAGAAATCACTGTTAAGGCTAATAGTTTATTATAATATAAACAAAATATGCCTTGGTAAATTAGGGTTATGTTACACTTTTTTTAAAAAAGTCACTCATCACTTACATGCACACATTATTTATAAATATAAGTACATACGATTTCCCCATTGTGGCTGGTGAGGATATACTACACTTGTACTAAACGTATGTTTTATTTTAGTTTGGAATTTGTACTATATAGTTCACCCCATTTTTTATAGATCCAAAGAAATTGAAAACAGAGTGCTATGTTAGAGATCTGAGAATCCCTATAAAGTAAAAAGGTTTGCTAAATGTTAAATGTTCTCCAAACAAGAAAAGTAAAAAGACAAGTCTTACGTCTAGCAGTGTGTGAAGATGCTGATCCTGGAAAACACTGTGTAGGAAATCTAGGTCCTTTTCACTGCAGTCTGTAAGTGCGTGAATCTCTTCCAGGCTGTCCAGCACCTGAGAGACGGCTCCTGGGGGCGAGGGTGAAATGGAAAAGAAACTGTTAACACATCATCAATGTTATACTGGATTGCAACCTTAAGCTTGCATATAGTAACAATGAGCTTCAAAGCCCAGAAGGCTTGCATTTTTATTAAGAAGAGGCTTAAATGTGCTTCATAACATTTAAGGGCAGAATATTTTGAGTGCTTATGTAGTCAACAACGTATTTGTGTCTTTTGTTTTTAAAGATGAACTTAAGCTGTATATTTAAATAAAACACTATGTCAACATAACTGGGAGTTACTATGACAGAAGATCTGGGTGCAGCAAGTTAGATATCAGCTAGACAATAAGGGTATGGGACACCAAAGCTTTTTGCAATATTACAGACACAACACAGGTAGGCCTTTCACACAAGGGCATTCTATCAAGAACTGAGAGAACAATCAGCTATGGGTAAGCGGCACAGACCATCAGTTGAGAGCTCTTGCTGCTTAAAATAAGCTTGGAATTTTAAAAAAAAATAGTTTTAGTTAGCCAAAACCTCAGTCATTTTTTTCCCTTTTTAAATTTTACATATGAAGTCAGGAGAACCAAAATCATTCTCATTGTCTCAGAACCTTATACAGACCCATAGACTAAGGGATAGTAGACAAACATGCATATGCATAATGGACACATCCAAATATCATGCGAAAATTTTTAGGGAAGTCATTTTGTAGGGCAAAGAAAATGGAAGTGTTATCAGTCTCCCTACATTTCCTCAGGCTCAGCACACTAGGCAGGTATCTTTAGTGAAAGACATATATGAGCATTATTAGAGTCATTTACATAGCCTTAAAGAACTAATCAATTTGTTATACTCTACAGACGATATGCAAATATACATCCCATTAAAAAGAATCCCAAGAGGCACATTTGTATATAGCAAGAAAGTCTAAGAACAAGCACTTCATTCACAGTTAAGTCTTCAGATCAGTGTTTCTCAGACTGGTGGGGGATTTGGATTTTGCTTTCCAAGGGGACATTTCTTAGTGTCTGGGGCTATTTTGGTTTGTCACAGTAGCAGAAGGGAGGGTGGCTATTGGTCTGTAATGGTAGAGGCTAGGGATGGTACTCAATATGTTCCAAGCTCTAGGACAGCACCCCATAATAAAGAGTTACCTGACCCGAAATGTCACTGCTGACTTTGAAAAACCCTGTTTCAGACAAAAGTGCAATTACTTTAGTAGCAGTTTCTAGTTCTTTTCTCAGATCCCATCCATTACAATGCCCTTATTGGTGAGAATGTAAATCAGTGTTATTCCCCAGAAGGTAATCTGGTAACATGTCAAGAAACCTTAAATGCTAATGTATTTCAACTTGCTAATTTCATTTGCAAAAAAAAATCTACCTTAAAGAAAAAAAAATAGGAGATTCTGTACGAGGATATTTAACATATAAATGGAAGATAAATCTAATAGATAATTATTAGTTAAATTATAGGATGCTCACATAATGAATATATAGCCGAATAAGAATTGTTTTTGAAAAAATTAATGATAGGAAAAATATCATGATATAAAATTTAGAAAAGTAGAAAAGAAAACCATGTAACAATTTCCTAATTATTGTAAAAAAAGAAAATCCAGACACACACACACACACACACACACACACACACACACACACACACACAGTGTAAAAAATAGAACTAAATACACCAGAAGTGTAATAGTAGCTATCATTTCCCTACTTAGTTCATCCTGTTCTTGTCCATATGTTCCAAGGTTTCTATAAAAGCAAAAACAAGTTGCTACAGAAGCTACTGATTTTCGTAGCACTATTTAGTTACATTAAAGTTTGGTGTTTAAGTCTCAAATCATGTGGCTATCCACATGGAAATTACTGTCTTTATTTTGGGACAGTTATAGATGCAACACACTTGTAAGAAAAATGACACAAAGATCAAGTTTATTTAGTTTTTCTCCAGTATGACAAAACCTTAGTAGATATCACAGTCAGGATGATGATAAGTACAATAAGCTACAAAACATTCATCCCCACAAGGTGCCTTCATTTTGTCATTTTGATGATGCTATACAAATGAAACCATACAGCATATAACCATTGGAGACTGACTCTTTTCTTAAACTTAGCATACCTCTGTACAGTCATCCAGTTTGTTCTTCCTTGCTGCTGAGTTGAAGTCCATGGCATGCTATGCCAGTTTGACCATTTATTTGTTGAGAAGTAACTACTGTAACTTTTACATTTTGGATAATTTATGCCTATCAGGCTATCGAGATTTTCACCAGAAACATAAGTAGATACTGAATAGGATAAAAAGGTACAAGGTAGAAATCAGTTCTCATTGCCCTGTATGGGCAATTGTATATGGACACAATCTGTTGCCTTTTACCTGCTCTTAGGATTTTTACTTTGCTCAATGTAGCAACAAATAAACAAATAAAACCCTCAAAGAACAGCACAACAATAACACCCTATAAAGTAGCACAGAACTAACTTTGTTCATCCTTACTGAAAGGTCTGGAAAGTTAAGGGCACATGTAGAAAAATTAGTCTCCAATGTTCCTATGAATCTTGGATTCCCTAAAGTACATCATCACTAGCAGGTTAAATGATACTGTGGTTATCAAATTTTTAAAATCAGTTCTAAAGTCCTGAACTTATGAAACTAAAACAATAAAAATAGTAAGGAAATAGTTTTGTAAATTTAAAGTCAACAGATAACATAAAATCTAGTTATTATTTTTGTTCAGTCATTTTAGTAATTATTGTGCTAATATGCTATATAGCAGCTTACTAATAAGATTAAAACAAAAAATGATCTTGTATTAAGATGGCCAGGCTGGCGATCCACCTGTACCTGACCAGAGTATATCATTGGTTGATCTGTGAACTTCCCAAGTACTTGTGTCATTCTTGTCCTGTCAGCACATTCCACGAGTTACTTACTGGACATTTGTCTATTCCTTTTTTAACAGAGAGTTATAAAATTCCCATGGCAGGTCTGCATGTTATTTATTTTATAATGTCTACCGGCTGTGCACTGATTAAGTCCTTTAGGATGATTAATAGGGCTGGAGAGATGGCTTGGTACTTATGAATAGCTGCTGCTCTTGCAGAGGACCCAGGCTCAGTTCCTAGCTCACACTTGCCTGTAACTCCAGCTCTAGGGGGATTTGATGCTTCTGACCTCTGTGGGTACCTGTACTCACGTCATATACCTCCTCCACACACATATGATTAAAATAATAAAAATAAAAAGAATTCATAATAATGGCAGCTCCTAATTCTTTAGATTGTATTATTTGCCACCACATAAAGGCAGATATCATCCCATCTTTCTAGCTAGGAGATCTGTTTTCAGAAGGGTCCAAAAAGGTTCCAGCTAGAAAGTGGTAAAACCAGTGCTCAGTTCTGAGGTTGTCTAGCTTCAAAGTGCACGGTTTGCCCAACTTACTACACTAATTGGCTGTGTTAGCAAGCACAGAGGAAACTTTAACAATTATGGTCCATGCACAGGTAGGGAGGTTGGAAAAGAATTTGACTCTGTTGTGTCAACCCATAAGCAAATTCCTTACTGAACTGAATGTTTCTCCTTTCTTCCAGGTGATAGGTAGGGGGCTTCAAGGAAAACAGAAATATGCTCTCAAGCTTCAAAGAACTCTTAGGTTGGTGTATGCAGGAGGCAAAGTACATCTTAAAGTGAAAGGTCCTGGGACAGGTTTGGGGAGGAAGAGAAGAATGAGCAGGAAGCCCCTGCCTTAACCAGGGGATAAATCTGTTGATGGAGCCATTAGATGGGTGTCTTTCTGAAGACATTGAAGGCATCTGTTAGCCTGCATCCTGTGGTCTCCAATGGTCTACCAAGCCTCTATTTGCCACTGCTGGAGTGACTTATAGTTGTAGCTTATACACAAATGGTATTCATTTAATGTACTCTCCCTCATGAAAGGGAGCATTTCTCCAGTTGTATTCAACTCTCCTACTTACAGCTCTAAAGAAAGGTCACTACTTTGAAGTTTCTGCAATTATGAAGGAGAATTGTTTCATTTGACTTTTCAAATTGAATAAATGGTTTTGCTCTAATCTTAAAATCTTTTCTTCACCTTTGCCACTGTTATTATTATCATCATTATTATTATTTTCAGAGCTGGGGATTGAAGCCCCGGCTCCATTGATGGCTGGCAGATACTCTTCTACTGAGCTGAATTCCATCCCAAACCGTGACCATTTCAAAAGCTTCTTTTTAAAGAACCTATTACAGTCTTATTATTCCTTTATTTCTGTTTGTGTTTTTGTTTTTTGGAGACAGGACTCCCTATGCAGCCCTGGTTGGCCTAGAACTTGTAAGAGCTCCTCTAGCCTCTGCTGGGCCACCATGGACTGCAGTCTTGTTAGTTCTTTCTTTGGGTTTGACCAACAGAACCATAAAACACAACTCTAAACGCATCTCACCCAAGCCCATCTAAAAGGCCCATAGTTTTCAATGAAAGAAAAAAGGTAACTAAAGTAAATTAACATGCTGGAGAGATAGTTTAGTGGCTAAAAGCAGTGGACCAAGGTTTGATTCCCAGCACTTACATAGTGGCTCACAACCATCTGTAACTACAGTTTTAGGAGATATGATGCTTCTTCTGATCTTTGTGTATACACACACACACACACACACACACACACACACACACAGACACACACGAAACATTCATACACATAAAATAAAATAAATGAATGGACACACTAGTTAAAAAGTAAATGGACACAAAGATTTTGGTAGGTCTTCCCCATTGCTATTGCATCAGAATTTAAATACAGACATTAGTGGTAATTACACACACAGATGATTAAGCTGTTACTAGCATTCATTTTATAGATCAGTATTATCATATAGGAACTAGTTACTCTTTTCAAAGATTGAAAATGATACTTTTCCTATAAAAAACCTGAAGTAAAATTCTACCTGCCTTAAAGAAACAAATCAGCCAATAAGAAGTACACAAGTTCTCCCTAGGAGACAGCTATCTAATGGCACAACCACAGGAATCCTATTTGCTTTTGTATTCTGGGCTTTACTTTGTAGAGTGTGTGGTTCAAAGAGTTCTTGATTAAAAGTATCTTTTCTAAACAAATTATGAAGATTTTAGAGCTAAGTATTAAAACAGAAGAACTAAGATTAAAATAGAAGATTTTAGAGCTAAGTATTAAAATTACCCATAGAAATACTTTTATTTTTTTGGATTCAGAGTCTGACTTTATAGCTCAGACTGGCCTCAAATTTCTGATCTTCTTGTCTCAGTCTCCTGACAGATGGGATTACAGGTGTGAGCTAGCATACCCAGATAAAAATCATAGTGGACATTATTTTCATACTAACACATGTATGGTAATTTGTATTTTTATTCTTGCTTTCTTTTGTGATTTTAAAATAACTTTGTTATGTAGGTGAGTACTTTTATAATTGAAAAACTGGAGGCTTATCAGGGTTCAATAACCTAGCCAAGGGCCACTCTCAGACTGGGAATAGAGGAATGAATCCCGGCACCCAACTGTGGCTCCTGTTCCTGTGTGCTCTCTATACCCTCAAACCACACATTACCTCAGCAATGCCCCCAGAGCACGTGTTCAGTAATGCTGTGCTCCGATTTCTATTCTATTTTTAATTTCATTTGCATTTACCATATAAGGTTCTTTTCTAGCATTTGGCCCAAACTCTTACACTGGTAAATTTACTAAAAGCAATTATATCCTGGCTTAGGATAATACCTTACACAGTTCATTCAATAATCACGGGTCTTTCTAAAAATCCAGGTTGAAAATCATACACTTGCATTTTAAACATTTCTACTTTTCCAATGAATCTCACTTCTCACAAAGTTTTTCTGGAAAGTCTTCTGTTGCTATTTTGAAAAAGAAAATAATCAAAATGGCATAAATATGTCAACTACCTTAAAAATGTTTTCTAGGCCTATTTATTTAAAGAGGAATATGTTTTTAAAGTCAATAAAAGCTTTGGATCCAGAACAGTTTCATTTCAAGAGTGGAAAAGTCTCACACACATACAAAAAAAAATTACCAAGTAAAAATAAACCCAATAGGACATCAGAAAAATAAACAGAATAATATTTAAACTAAGAGGTTCTCAGCGTCAATGTAGGCTGAGTCACTCTCAAACCCTTTCCCCACATAGCAAACTATGAACAAATACAAACACGCAGAAAGTCTGACACCCAACCAATTCACAGAGTTGTTAACAGCTTTCTGTACTGCTCTATGCATGTATAGTCAGCTAGCCATCTGGGTATTCATTGTATTTCTCACCCCTGTCAAAGTGGCAGCGTGGCTAACACCAGTCACTTCATTCTTTAACAGTTCAGCACAGATTTCCATTCTTCTTCAGATAAAATTTAACTACAGCAAAGTACACACAAGTCTCAAGTTCACCATTCAATGGGCAGTTATTTCAAGAAAGATCTGTGTGCATTTCTCGTATATAGCTATGGAACTTGGTAACACTGGCAAATGCAGCATGTGACTGCAACTCACTTCTTCTGAAGAGGGTAAGCTCATTGACACAACACTGTAGCACTGTACACACACTTTCATCGCCCAATCAAAGCTCTCCCTTGCAAACACGATACCTTTTTTTAAAGACAGGGTCTCATTATGTAGCTCAGGCTGGCCTCAAACTATTATTATCCTTGGGTGCTGGGATTATAGGTGTGAACCCTGTCCCCAGCTAAGCAATATAATGTTTAAAAATTTTGTTCTGCCAGAAAATGCCCACAGGAGACAGAGGAAGGCAGATCTCTGTGAGTTTAAGGCCAGCCAGGGCTACACAGTGAGACCTGGTCTCAAAAATTTTTTCTTACTCAAAAGTGTACTTTATTAAGTCAAACTCACCAATTTATATGTACACTGTCATCACTGAAAAATATCCCTGTGTCTAACTGCAGTCCATCTCTTCTCATCCCCTCCTAGCCAACAGCTTTTATTTTCAATGCACAAAGGAAATTCAGTCAAGCGATAAGCAATAGGAAATCCCACAATGGGAACTACATTTTAAACTCTGGCATATGCACTATATCCAATTTCAGTTCTGAAAATTTGTATATGATGATACATATCTCAGACTCTTTATGTGCAGATTATGGCATAAGTACCTCAAAAATGTATTAGCTGACGTTTCTTAAGAAACTCTACATATATGTTTTATCAGCATATAGAGGCTATAATTCTAGTAACATCATGTTTATTAAAATAGTCTGTTTCCAAGTAGTAACATTCTTCATTTTTATTTATTTTTTGAGACAGGATGTTACTATGCAGTTCTGGCCAGAACTCACTAAACAGAACTTGAACTCAGAGATATCTGTCTGCCTCTGCTTCTTAAATGCTGGGATGCGACAGTAGGCATAAGTAGTAAAACATGCTACAGTAGGAATAAATAGTAACATTTTTGAGCACTATTTTTTCAAAGTATTTTAACAACATTCTGCTAGCCCTTAAATGCTCATTTGTGTAAAGTTTTACACAGATTGGTAAGTATAACTGATAGGATGCCCATCCTCATTGTGATGTTAGGTGTGGCTGATCAAAAAGGATAGTGAGAGGAAAAAGGGAAGAGGAGAGGAGGAGGGAGGAAGAGATTGATTTCCATGTTATAGTCACCAGCATGGGTACATAGGTAGCCGCTGGACCCTTACAATCCTGTCTCCTGTTAACCCTACTGTTTGTGATCAATTACTTCTCCTGGCATGGAGAATGAGCATATAGAATGTCAGTTCTGTGGCAAGGCTGAAAAACTGTTCCCTGTCTTGGGAACACAAAGGAAAAACTTTTGCCTTCTCTTTAGTCATTTGTGTTGGGGCAGGAAGCTGCCAGGTTGTGAACAGCCTTGTAAACAAGGCCACAGCCAATGAGGAAGAGAAATTTTCTATTAACCACTGGGTGGGTTTCAAAGATTTCACCTATAGTCATGCTTTCAAAAGAGGGTGGCAGCTCTGGAGTGTCTTTGGAAGGGATCTTGAGGTAGAGGCACTTAGCAAAGCCATGCCCCTACTTCTGACACAGGCGCTGTGAGGAAGAGGAGGCAATTTAGTACGCAGCCACAGATTTTTGTAGCTATAAATATCAAATGCAATAAAAATGACAATGAATTTAATTGTTAGCACTCATATTTTCTAATTTACCTTTGTCTCTTATTTACTTTCCTTTAGTAAGCATCACTTTGACATAACCTACCTATGTTATTTGGACTGTCTCAGTTTTACTTACTCATGTGTGCCTATTTCTTATGGATCAATTTTCTCACATATTCAAATTACATTATTATTTTGCAATTAAGGCATACTGATCTTTACTCTTCTTTTTTTATTTATTTATTTATTTATTGAGACAGGGTCCCTCCATAGCCCACACTTGTCTCTAACTTGTGACTTTCCTGCCCCTGTCTCCTGAGTGCTGGGGCTGTATCAGTGCACCTCTATGCCTTCCAGTCATTATATCTGATGGTGAAGTTGTTAAAAGATTTGATTTCGGGGCTTACTTCACAGTCCAATATTGATAAACAGAATGGACCCTGTATCAGTAATAAAACACACTTATGTGTAATGAAACTGTCAAAAGAAAACTCGGTTACCCTAAAAGTTTTCTTGAAAGCCAACTTCAGAATAATATGTTACCTTTTTCCCAGAATATATTTGTGTTTGAAATTCACATGTGAAATAATATTAAGTGTGGCTGAAAACTTAACTCTGCCTGCCCCCAACTTTTGAAAGAAGCAAGAAATTAAGTTGAATAACAATGCCTCAGGAATCAATATATATACAAGTTCTTTTTTTATGGTTAGACAGTTTTAAAATTCACATTTAAATATCCAAACACAAACAGCCATGGAAAAAGTCAAGCCAATATGAATCATGCAAAGCCAAACACTTTTGCATAAAGATAAACCTTAGAGGTAAACAAAGGGATACCTACTTTCTGCTGCTAGAAGTCCTAGGAGGAAGGCAGCATATGGACAAAGGACAAACATGATTTTAGAGCAAGCAGGTCATTAAGCCATAGTTGGGCCCACTAGATAAGCCATAAGCACAGCACCCCCACTCCACTCCCCCAAAAATTTCAGACATCAATTACTGGGATCTAATTCTAAATTTTTACTTTGGAATGTGAGAACAGACTATTTCTATTTTAAATTAAGTACCAAAGCAACAAGATACTGTTTGCCATAAGATTAACCTTAGTGAATTTAGTAAACACATAATGAAGTTCAATAATCGAAATAGAAAAGTATCTTTCAGCAAAAAATTGTTTTACATTACAATGATATACTTAAACATGCCCAACTTTTCTTTGGATGACAGGTTGGGGAGCTGATTAATTTTTAAACTGTGATTTTTAAAGACTCACATTTTCTCAAATGCATACTCATTTCAATAATAAAGTTTAATTTAAGGAAACAACATGCTGTATTTTGTAAGCAAGGAGCTTTAGCCACTGTCCTTAAACTTCAGATATTGTAGAGAGAAATTTTAAGAAATTTTGGGATACAAATTTGGGATTGCCAATTATTACTTTCGTGAGGCTTATTTTAAAAAATGTACCTACTTATCATTCCATAAGAATAGAAAATGTATTATGTAAGGTAGAATACAGTCCGTGTAAAGAATGGGCAGCTGGGGAAATACTATTCCCTGTCTTCCCAGCCCTTCCTGCCCACCTCCATCACCATCCTACAAGTATAGGTTCTACAGTCATTTCTGTCTCTTGTCTTGGGCTTGAATGTACTTGCAGGTAATCACACAAAGTGCTTCTGGTTCTGTAGTGCAAAACAAATCCGTAAAAATTCAAACAGAAAGACAGGAAAAATAACTTTGGGAATTTAAATTAACAAGCATAAGGATAAACAGAAAACCTTAGGTTTGAAAATTAATGAAAATACTAAAGCTGAGATGGCAGTAGTGAAAAAATGTAGACATTTTCATTTACAAAAGTGCAAAGCTCTATTTGGGTCTAGATAAAATACAGAAATGGCTTTCTGCAGCTGATGCCCTAGTGTTGGCTGCAGAGAGAGAGGACAAGGGTTGGCAGATGGCTGCTTGGTTACTAAGGCTGATTAGGGCAGAATGCCTTCCTCAAAAAGGCTTAGTATTAAAAATTAATTTTAGAAATGTATGAATAATTTCTCATGGCTATGTAAAATATGTAGGAAAATGCTATACTTTTGTTTTAAAATCTCCTTTGCTTTTGACTCCTGACTACATAAAAATTTCCTCTTCATTGAGAGAAGTGATTTACTTTAGATTTTAATTCTTCCACTTTTGTTTGGATCACCCAGATAGCATCACTGGAAAAAAACCCTTTACAGATATTTACCATAGCCATTTAAAATATACATCTTAGAAGATCATAAAATTCCCAGAATTAAAGAATGTAGGAAAGGGAAGTCAAGAAGGGATGTTCAATTGTGAATAATTAATATGAGACCTTGCAGATGGCCTACAAGATGACAGAAGTTTTATTGTTGTTGCTTAAAACAAAGTAGTATACTTAAAAAACTGTTTCAACCAGACCACTCAAAGATTGTACTAAAGAAGGGAAAACCTAGGCAGTAAAACATACTTAATATAAATAAGTGTCTATGAGTATAGGTGATTTCTATCTGTGAAGAAAAAAATTATCTCTTCCAGAAAAAGAACACTTACAGCCTCATAACATTCTCAGCAGGCAGAGGAAAATATTAATTAAAGGCAAATTCTGGAGATTATGTTTACAAAAAGTGATTTACAAGGACTACAATGTTTTATAGGCCCATTTCAAAAGACGAAAGTGATGGTATAGATGTTGACCACAAATCCCAAAGAGATAAGTTATTCTAAATATAGTACAAGTTGTAATTCTATCATATCATCACCAATATTAAATAAAATCCATGTCTGGATCCACTCTCCCTAAATAGGGTCAACTAATCTGCTGAAAGCCGGAAGAGAGATGTTCAAGCTCTAAAAACTGTCCAGGGTATGGGAGCCAAATACAATAGGAAAAAGGGGCAGAGACAAACTGGTCCAGAGCATGTGTATAATGACAACCATGGCCCAGCCCAGTGCACCATAAGGGTTCAGGCAGCTTCTAAGGCAGCACAAGAGGAAGCCTCTGGGCTTTGTCCCCAGTCACTTCTCTAAGATTCTGAATGTGTTTGGAAATCACCTTCACTCAAAAGAGGAAGATTCATATCCCGATTGGTAAAAGTCAAAAGGAGGAAGTATATACCTGCTGGGCTGGGAAACTCAGCCCTGTCATGATGCATATGCTACAGGCACACACTGACTGCTAAGAGATCTTGAGTCTGTATGTGCATGAAGACAGGACAGAAGCAGAAGCATTGACAGACATTCCCAGACCCACCAAGAAAAAAGCCCTCATATTGCTGACTGTGGGACACAGTACTCATGCTGTAGAAGGGGCTTCAAGCCTGGATTCTAATGCTCATACACAAATATTAAAGAAGCCAGTTTAAGTATATAAAAACCAATTAGAAGTACAAATTCAACCACATAAAATTGTCTCTAGCAGAAGTAAAGCAGGAGGCCACATGACCTACAACTCAGGAGTTAAATAAACAAGAGGAAGCCCATGCGCAACACTAGACAGCCACAGGATCTGGAAGGTGGATGGCTAAGAACCTAGGGTAGAGCCAAACATGATTGACAAAGTCAATGAAATGATTCAAAATGCTATTCTGCTATACTCATAGATCAATGTCTAGCCCAATCATCATCAGAGAGGCCTCCTCAGGTAGCTGATGGGAGCAGATGTAGAGCCCACAGCCAGACATTAGGAAGAGCTCACAGAACCCCTTGGAAGAGGGGGAAAAAGGATTGTAAGAGCCAGAGGGATCAAGGATACCAGGAGAACACAGCCCACAGAATCAACCAAGCAGGGCTCATAGGGACACAGAGACTGAAGCAGCAATCACAGAACCTTCATGGGCCTTGCACTAAGTCCTCTGCACACAGGATGTGGCTGTTTAGCTTGGGGGTTTTGTGGATTTCTAAAAGAAGAGCTGTTTCTGATTATTTTTGCACTCATGGGACCCTTTTCCTCCTACTGGGTTACCTTGTCCAGTCTTGATATGAGGGTTTGTGACTACTCTTACTGCATCTTGTTATGCCTTGTTGAGTTGATATTACTGGGAGACTTGCTCTGTTCTGAAGGGAAATGGAGGAGCAGCAGATCTTGGGGAGAGAGGAAGTGCATGGGAGGACTGGCAGGTGTAGAGGGAGGAGAGCCTGTGGTAGGGATGCATTATACGAGAGAAGAATAAATTAAAAAGAAAACTCTAACCACTCTGCATCTAAATCGGTCATTTAGAGGTTTAGTGAATGGTCCTGGGGAACACCTCACTGGTCAGATGTCAATGTGAGCATTTTATAAGAATAATTGTGTGAGCACTAGCAGTTTTCTCCCCCCCCCAGGAGTACTTATGTATCATTCATCAAAACAGTAACTCTTCTATGAATACTTGCACACGTAAGTTAGAGACTTTATAGAGAGCAGAACTTGGTAACTGTTTAAAGCTCCCAAGATAGCTTTTACATCGAAGGACTTAATTTCAAGCAGTGCTGTCCCCAAGTCTGATCCCATGCGGTTGACATGGGAAGCTCTTACATTAGAAGGTTTGCAGGGAAAGAAGATGCTCATCAAGATCAAGCGAGTCTGATTATGACACTGGGATGGGTAAAATGGACTGCAGAGTTTAGAGTGTACAAAGGGGAAGATGTATTGAGGTAAAAAGAAATTGGTATAATGTTGGTTTGGGAGCATTTGGGGAGGACAGCTTTGGTATTCAAATAAAGAGGAACTGGACACTTGTAGGTAGGATTTGGTGGTGACAAACTTCCTTAGAATCTCTTGGAGGACTTAACTACATTCCCACAAAGATTATCCAGAATGGATGAGAAAAGATAGATGCCAATTGATTCACACAAGTGAATGAGTGAATTTCACAATTACCTGAGGAGGTAGGGTCTTCAGAGAAATCTGGCAACTCTTCAGGAGGGTCCCCGTAGAAGGAGTTGAATTTATGACTTGACACAGCAGCTAGTACTGCACCCTAATACATAAAGATGAAAAAGCATACAATTAAAACATACACACAGACATAAGGCATTACCTAATTGGTTATTTACCTTAAGGATTATTCCGAAAGTAAGTCTGGTTTTGTTTGTTTGTTTGAGATAAGGTTTCTGTCCTGGAATTCATTTTATAGATCAGGTTGGACTTGAACTTACAGAGATTTGCCTGCCTCTGCTGGAATTGAAGGCGTGCACCACAATTGTCTGGCACAGAAAGTAAATTTGTAAGAAATGCTGGCTGGGGGAGCGGTGGCTCTTGGAACAATTGTGGATTACTTTACACTAATTCCATATTCCAAAAGAAGTGTATGAACTAATTCCTCCTTATACTTACATATGCACCACACAGTACAAGACTCTGTCAGCATAAAATTATGTGGCAGAAGGATATTTAGTAGAATAGGAAGATGTTTGCAATAAGTTATATTTTAAAAAGCTTTCAATCCAGGCATTGGTGGTGCACACCTTTAATCTCAGCACTTGGGATGCAGAGGCAGGCGGATCTCTGAGTTCGAGACCAGCCTGGTCTACAGAGAGAGTGCCAAAACAGCCAAGACTGTCTTGAATAACCATAAGAAAAAAGCTTTCAAATTAGTACAGTCTGATTTCTTCTTTGGAAAAAAAAAGTTAATTATAAAACAGTAAACATATATCAGAATATTAACAGTAGTATCATTGAGTAGTAGGATTGAGAGTTTTTTATTTTTCAATCTTTTTTCTATTTTTTGTAACAATAACTATACTACTCCTGCATACCAATTCTCAATCAGGCCATATTAGAATCAACTATATGTATTTTTTTTTCAATTTTTTGAGACTGGATACACTACATATCACAGATTGACCTTGAAGCTGCTATGTAGTTGGGGCTGCCCCAAACTCTTGATCCTGTTGCTTCTATCTCCTCCCAAGTGCTGGTATAATAGACACAGAACACCACACCTGGTTATGTGTAGATCCTGGAAGCCACAGAGAGGACCAATTGAAGCCTAGCAGAGAAGCACTGCCATATTGAGTACCTGGCATCTTTTAAGACTATGGTGTGGGACAGCAATGGGAGTTATTGTTTTAATAATAAGAGAAGTCATAAGCTGCCATGCTTGCTCTCTAGCTCCGCCTGGTTCTAGCTATGAAACATTGCTTGAGTAGATCATTAAAGCTCTCTAGGTTCTCTTGTTCTTGTGTGTGTGTATTTGAACACCTTCATGGGGATTGTGTGCACATGTGTGTATGTGAAGGCTAGAGGTCAAGCCTAGGTGTCATTTCCTCAGGAGCCACCCACTTGTTTTCTGAGGCAGTGTCCAGTGCTGACTGGAGTAGGCTGCCTAGTCAGCAGGCTCTAGGCAATCTCTTGTCTGCCTCAGGGCTGGGATTGTGTGTTCTTCTGTGGGTGGTAGGGATGGATTCAGGTTCTCATGCTTGTGTAGGAGGCACTTTTCTGACTGAGCTATCTAGCTCTTCAATCCTTCTCTAGGTTTTCTTATCTGTAAATTAAAAATATGAAATGGGATATACCTTACTTTACAGAATTGCTAACAGTCTTAATGTACACAAAAGTGCTTTGAAAGCTGTACATTCTGGAAGTATAAGTCATTACTAAGCTTCCTAAAACAGAGGCAGAATATAAGTGCAAATCTTTTGTTTTTATATGGAATTGCTCACTTAAGTAGTTTAAATATCAAATTACCAAAGTGGTTTAAGTCTATTATAGTTTCTATGTAAATTTTAAATATTGAGCTTATGATTTTTTTTCTGAAAGGAAAGATAAACATACCATATATATATAGGAAATTGTTGGTAAATACATAAAAATGTTAGTGGCAATGCATTTCCACAAGATCCACTTTTTTTGGGGTCATGTTAAGTTTTTTCCTTCTCTAAATTTTAATCGACAATATGATGTTTCACGTTCATGGTTGAGGCAGGAATAGTGGGAGTCTCAGGCTAGCCTGGGCTACATAGCAAGGCCATGTCTCAAACTGGCAGCTGTAGCAGCAGCAGCAGCAACAACAGTAACAACAATTACCATCACTACCACCATCAAAAAAGACAAAAAAGTGGAACACACACAAAAAAAACACAAGTGGTTTTGATGTTGCTATTTTCAGCAACTGCCTAGATGGGGTTAAAACAACGTTTTTAATGCAGAATTGTATCAACCATATAGGAAAAAATAGTTAATGATGAGTTCTTCCTACAGAAGAACCTTTTTTCCTTCATTTTGGTTGTGAGCCTAGCCTTTAACAGCCGAGTCATCTTTCCAGCCCTTTTCCTTCTTTTTAGTTATTCTTTGTGTGTTTTGCATCATACCTCCAGATGAGCAAAAGATGGGGTCAGTTCTCTCTCTTTCACACCCTCAGGGTCTGATCTTCCACACCTACACCTTCAGGGCCAGCTCTACTGTGTAGCCCAGGTGAGATGTAGAATGCTGCATCCCACTCTTATGACTCCAAGGCCAGTTTTCTCACCTGCCTCAAGTGTGGGTGGGTGCGGGGAGGGGGAGGGCATCCATCTCTTTCCCTCCCATGCCACCATGTGACAGATGAGTAAAGGAGGCAGCTCTCCCATGTTCACAACATCAGGGCTGGTTCACCCACACCTCTGCCAACATGGTACTGTACTGCCCAGGTAAGATTCAGAGTCCACTTTCTCCTGTGTTTCAGCTAGTAAGGAGGTGGGATCAACTCCCTCATCCACCCCAAGTGGCAGGGGTAGAAGGTGGCCATCTTTCCCTCGCCCTCACCACAACATGGCAGACAAGGGGAGTGTGGCCAGCTATCTAGCTCTCAAAGCTACAGAAGAATCTTATTTCATTTTGCATATTATACATGTTCCCTAAAAGCTGGGCAGAATGGAATTGTTATGCATCAAATCCTATTTCCCACACCCAAATCAGAATTTTAGAGATGTTTTATTTCCAAGTGAAGTTCAACCAAGTTTCTTGGTATGTTAGTGTTAGGTTTTAAGGCTTTTCCCAGCTACTTCTGTAGTTGAAGATCCTATAAACAAATACTACACTAGTACTTCAAAGAGCCTGGGAGAAAAATTTCTTTGAAACAGTGAGTTCCTGATTTCTCTGGTCTATGGTTAGCAGTTTGGTTTATTTAGTTTTCTCGGCCCAGTGTGACCATACATGGTTCCACTAGCCAATGCAAGGCAATTATGTGTAATTGGAAAACAGTTTCAAAATAGCTCAGAGTCACAGAATTTTATTAAGCTTTGAGAGCCAATCTCAGTGATGGGCCATTCTAAAAGATTCATTTCATAGGTGGGAAACCTGAGGTCCAGACAAATTTAGCAACTTGTTATGATTAAAGGAGTAACCAAGAGTGCTCAGAACTGAGACCCATTGATCATTCTTCCTAATTTAAGGGTTTCTACTCTACCAGGAGTTAACAGGTTTTTTTCCCACTCTACAAAGGGATAGTTCATAAATATTTTAGTCTTTGAAGGCTACATGGTTTCTTTTGATACTACTCAACTTGGCCACCAAAGCACACAAAAGCAACAACACATCAAATGTAAATGAATATATGGTACCGATTCTCAATAAAATTAACATCACTTAAAGGGTAGACTGGACCCCCAGGCCACCGTTTTCCAACTCCCACAGTACACTATAGCTAGTGAACAGCCAGTTGGGTACAGCAATATAAATGATATATAAGTAGTTCTCCATTTTTTGGTTTATTCAACCTTGACAAAGAAGCTTGCCATTCAGATTTACTAGGTATGCTTTAGCATGTTTTAAGGATGAAACATAATTTTAAGTTAAGACTATTCCAAATCTGTTAAGAAAACTATGAGAAAATGAAAATTTCCTGCTTTTCAAGTACTTGGGGGAGACTGATCAGCAGGCAGAGAAGCAGGCAAGGAATACTTGTGCCATTTGCAGAACCAATAAAGGAAAGCCATACAGAGTTGTCAGAAATCCCCCTTGCTGTGTTCTCTTCCTTTTAAAGAGAATTTCTCATTTGACAGTTTCTACATGTATTTAAAATACTCTGGTCACACTCCTCCTACGTCCTCCTACTTTCATATCTTTTTGTTTTGGGTCTGTTTTTACTTTGGGACCTCCCTGCATTGATATGGGTGTGGAGCTGTCCACTGGAACATGGGCAACTCACTTGTGACTACACAAAGAAAGATAATGACTTCTCCCCCAGTGAACCTAGACTGCCATTAGCTTCTCAGAATGGGGTGTGGTCCCAGGAACCATCTCCCATCTATGACTGAATGCTTAGGGACTCAGTCTTGTGTTATTTGTCAGAGGAAAAGTTTTTTACAAGAGAGTGTGGCTAGATACCTTAGGCTGGCCTTGAAACCTTGCTTCAGAGCTGGGATTACAGGTGTGTGGTACCACGCTTGGCTCAATTTCCTAAACTGATTGCACTCAAATATAGGATAGTGCTTCTATTTAGATAGAATTCTTTCCTTTAAGGTCCCAAATCTATATTAATGTTCCATTATATTTGTTTAATAGAAGTTACTTTAAACAGCAAACACATTGAAATGAAAATTATTGTAGACAGGTAATTTCTGCTTATACAAAAATCAGTAGTGATAGTGAAAAGGATCAAAATATTTTATTCTAAAACATACCACTTTCATGTAAAGATATTTTAATTTATGAAGCATTTTAACTGTTTGAGAATTTCATACATGCATACATAACGTGTTCTGCTTCATTATAGAAGCAAAGGGAATAACTTTTGGAACAGATATCCTATTGAGCTTTCCCTAGATTAACAAGCTCATATGCCAATAGACTCCTTTAATAGCTGGTGCCCAAGACAGAAGGCAGTATACCCTCCCATGATGTTTAATTTCTGCTGTCAACTTAGTTGCACTTGGAATCATCAAAGATTCCAACACTGGGTGAGTCTGTGAGAGTTTCTCAAGAGGATTAACTGAGGATGGAAGATCCACTCAATTGTTGCAGCGCTATTCTTTGTTCTGGGGACCAAGACTGACAAAAGAGAAAGGACACCAATTACTGGCATCCATCTCTCCTGGCTTCATGACTATGGGCAGACACAACATGACTCCTTCCCTCATACATGCTGTCATGTCCTCATATACGCAAACAGTCAGCCAAAGTAAACTGTCTTCCTTAAGTTGCTTGTGTCAGGCATTTTGTTGTAACAATGAGACAGTAACTAAGTAACTAACATATCACTTAAGGAGTCCACACCTCAGAGTACACATCCCCCTCATAGCCTAGATAACACAGTCTTCAGGGCCATGAACATTACATCTCCCTTTACTTAGACTCCCAATTCTCCCAGGAATTTGGTTTACACACCCTGTATTTCTTTTGCTGGATTTATTTCTGAACATTTCAATGAGTAGACTTATGCCTTAATTTCCTCTTAAGACTCTTTATTGCTCATATATGAATGGTTGGTTCATGTTTATAGTGATTCATAACATATACTTGATATGAACTTGTTCTTTCCAGTGAATTTCTTAGGATTTTCTACAATATGGATCATCTGCCAAGACAATTTTACTCTCTTCTCAAATGGAAGCCTTGTCTGAATATATCATGACCCAGTCAGTTATCTCTACTCCTGATATGTTCTAGGTGGTGCTGATCTGCTGATCCAAAGTCCTTACATGGGAAGTGTAGAGTTGTTTCCCTTTTTACTTAGTTCCAGTAACTTATAATCTTGGTATGAAACAATTACAGGGAAAATCCATGAAGTCAATATTTTATATGCTTTAAATGACCTTTACAATGGCATAGTGCTACAATTATTGCATCTTACTATGAGCTATTGTTACTCTTACTGTTCCTAATTTATTATTACACTTTATCAGAAGCATGTTTGCATATAAAAACAGTAGAATATATGGAATTCAAGACAGAAATATTTCAGGCACATACGGGTCTTACATGTTACATGATCACTATACTACTTGAGGAAAATAGTGGCAAGGGAGTGAGTATAACTTTACAAGTAAGAGAACTTCTTGTAGATAATGTAAAGGGAAATGATCAAAATAAGCGAGAAAAGTCTTAAGCATAATTTCTTTGGAAGAAAAATAAGAACAGAGATTATTCAGTAAATATTTCCAGTGTTTTGTGCAATTTTTAAAGTTCCTAAGAGCTGGCAAGATTGCTCAGTGGGTAAAGGTACCTGCCACCAAGCCTGAGTGTTTGAGTTCAATCACTGGAACCCACATGCGAAAGCAGAAAACTAACTCCCACAAGTTGTCCTCTGACCTCCACATGCCTAGTATGGCATGTATGTTCCCTGCCCTTTAGGCATACAAAATAAATAAAAAAGTAATAGAAGTTCCTAAAAGCTCTAATATATTAAAGTTGAATGACTAGCAAGAATCTGAAATGGTACATGATGGTTATTCAGGAATTACAATCATTTATAGACCACTAAATTAAAGGTATTACCATTAAAATCAAAATAATGTATTAACAAAAAGCCCAAAGTTGCAGTAAAAACCATTTTTGGAGCATTTACCACAGTAACTCATTGAATCCTGCTACTCCTAGGAATTAGTAGCTACCACTATGCATACTTAACAGATAATGACACACATCAAGGCACAAAAATGTTAGGTAACTTTCTCAAGGCTTTCAATGAGGGAGTGTCAGAACTGGGATTTGCCTACAAATCATAGCAAGAGCAGCTCTTCTGTATTGTATGATTCTTCTGCTACCATAATCAAAATTCAATAATCAGCTTTCAGTGAGTTTTCTTTTTTAATCACTTCTAAAGTAGCCTTAAAAATTAGGCTGCTGTACCATTTGGGGAAGTTCAAATCAGTGTCTGCAGTAAAACATGAGTGGGCACCTAACTGTTCACTTGGGGAAATAAACTGTGGGGTGGTAGGGTGTTGTAAACCAGGGAAGTTACAACCTTTGTTCTAGAAGTTAATAGGAGAGGCATAAGGAAGAGAATAAGTTCCTTGAGGAGGGCAGGAATGGTATGTGTTAACCTGGTGGCTGACAATTCTCAGGAATGCAACCTTGCTAGAACCTAAAACAAGCCCATAATGATTAGGCTGACATTTCTAATTCTATGTTGCTTGGCTGGTCTTGAGACTTTAAATAGCCTGCAAAGGGATGTGGTAAATCCACATGACCCCTATTTGTTGTTATAGTTTGGCCCTGTCCAAATGAATCTTAGTCACCAGTTTGGCTATTTTTGGTCTAAGTCTGCTTCCATGGCACCAGGGGAAGAATACGTCTCCTGTGATGGGTGAACCCAAGCCTAAGTGAAGCATCTGTATTTGGACAATGGAAGGCTCAACCTTACATAGTGTAATGTTATGTGAGGCCAAAGCAGGGCCAAGGATTAAAAAGATGTAGAGAAGAGTTAAGAAAGAAGCACAGACACAGTTTCTTTAGACAACTGGACAAGAAACAAACTGCAAAAGAGATGACTAAATTTTACTTTGAATGATTTATTTTTTATTTTTTTATTTGGTGCCTATACCAGTTTAGGTAGATGTCAAGGCAAAGATGTCAAGCCTTAAGAAACTTCTTTGGCCAGGTGGTGCTGGTGCACGCCTTTAATCCCAGCACTTGGGAGGCAGAGGCAGTCCATCTCTGGGTTTGAGGCCATCCTGATCTACAACATAGCAAGTTCCAGGACAGCCAGGGCCACACAGAGAAACCCTTAAAAAAAAAAAGAAACTTCTTTGGGCACTAGCTCAATGATGGCATATCATTAATAATTATTTTTGCTAAGGATTTTATAAAAGCAGATAGAGAAGAGCCAGTTTGAAGTCCTGACAACAACAACAACAAAAAAAAAAAAAAAATTAGGAGAAAAGCTTAAATAAGAATGTTCAGCATTAATAATATGTGACCAATTCGCTTGCTGTTTAGTAGCATTTAACATCCAATAGAATCTTCTACAAGTGTGGGGACGTTTTGTAACTGTGCTGTTCAATATAGTAGCTAGTCTACCGAGCTCTTGAAACATGATGGTATGAACAGGGAACAGGTGCTTGGAATTTTAAATTTTAAGTAACTTATATTCACAGAGGAACATGTGGCTAATGGATATCATTTTGGGCATTTCAGCCTTCCATGGCACTTTTTTAACTTAAGAATTTCCCCAAATATTTACATAACATCTACCGCTATATAAAATCATTCATAATCTTCAAGGGGTAAAGAATAATAAATTAACAGTATTATAATTTAGGACATCTGAAAATACTCAAGAAATTTTGCAGCAGGTAGGAGTCAGGTAACTAGAAACCATTATCTAGCCAGCCACTTACAGAACACACTCAGTAGCACAGATCAAGTAAGCATTAGTCATTTCCTCTGCATCTCTGTGGCACAGAGTGCGAGACCTCCACCACTGAATTGTGGGTCTTTTCCAGAAAGTTCTGAAGTAAAATGGCTCCCCTCGAGGGGTCATTATCATTGTGCCTTTTCACTTTTTGAGGCAGGGGATAAGGAGAGTGGCAAGAAAACTAACTAGGAAGAACAAAGGATGGCAGGTGGTTTGTAAACATTTTCTTATAGATTATGGCGGGGGGCTTTCACTTATTGCTTTATGATGGTTGTTCAACTCTACATTCAATGTTAACCCAGCTGCAGTTTATACTGAAAAATCACACTTGAAATATTTAAAGTGTTATTCTCATTGTTGGCTTAATTTTGAAGCAGTGTTTCATTATGTAGCCCAGGCTGGCCTGAAACTCATGAAACTCTTGCATCAGGCTTTTCAGTGGTGAGATTATAGATGTATGTCATGTTATTTTTTCTGTCAAAATATTTATGTTTGGAAAACCAAAGCTTAAATTCATAATATAACCATATTTCTGCTATGAATTTTAAAGACAAAAAAAAAACAAAAAAATATGTGTTCTAGTTGCTAAATTTTGTTTTGATTCCTACTGCATCATTAACTTATAGTGATCTTAACAACACAAATGTTTACTGAGATGGCAACAATGTTTAGAAATAATTTAGCTATAGGAAAAATAATGTTAATATGAGGATGTGTCTGTAGGAATCAAAGTGGAATAAAAGCATGATCATCAACTCTATGTAATAGGCTTTTTGGTGTTTTTAACATTTACCTTTAGTTTCCTCCTTGCATTGAATTTTCTCAGTTGTTCTACTGTTTCTGGAAGATGAATTTTGTAGGCATAACGATCCCGCTCCTATAAAAGAAGATTATGATCATACACTACTACTGAAAAAAGTGAAGAAGGTTAACATGAATTATGAAGGTCAAATCTTAGATGTGAAGTTTAGATCTAATTTTAGGAAATCGGTTATTTTATTCCATATACTGGTACATATTCTAATATAATATAAACACTAAAATTGATGGCTAAATAGTATTTCTAGCAAGAACAAAGGACTAAAGTAATAGATTATCTAATTTATAGGCCTGTGGCTAAAGTTATAATGGTTATAAAAATATGAAGTTAGCCTTTTCTACTTAATTTTTTTTTAGCTATTATGCAAAATAACAGATTTTATGATGCCATTTTCATATATGTATCGTTGTGCTGAAGTTCTCTTCAACATGAACTGTCAGGTAAAATGAGGATTTAAAAATTGAGGCTACACTGATTCACCGTTCTGTACTGACAGGAATAACTAACTGGACTACAAAAATCACCAAGTCTTCCAACTAGGACAGACTTTTCAAGGGTATCCAATCCAGCCATTTCCTCCATGCAGGGTCTGCTTCAATCCTTGCCCAGAAAGAAATCACTTCCTTTGTGGCAGCCCTTTAGAATTCCAGTAGAGCAATTTAGAATTTTATCTTAGAAAAATGAAACTAGATTCCTATCTTTCACCCCACACAAAAGTCAACTTCAAATGGATCAAAGAATTTAACTATAAAACCTGAAATTCTGAAACTGTTAGAGGTGAAACGTGCAAATATAGGTCTAGGGAGGGTTTTTCTCAATAGGACTTGGTCACTTAAGGTTAACAATCAACAAATGGGACCAGATGGTATTAAAAGGCTTCTGTACAGCAAAGGAAACTGTCAATTGACTAAAAAAGCAACCTATGGAAGGGGGAAAAAATCTTTGCTGGCCAGACACCTGACAGAGAAGTTGTATCTGAAATATTTAAAGGTCTAACAAGAATTAAGGAACAACCAATTCAACAAATGGGCTAATGAAACGGACAGATCTCCAAAGATGGAATAAATATGGTCAATAAATATTATGAAAACATGCTAGACCTCACTAGCCATTTGAGAAATTCAAGTCAGAACTAGCCAGAATGGCAGTTGTGGTGCTATTTACAGAGACAGTGGTTGAAATAGAACAAGTACCCACCACAAAAATGTAAGGATAAAGAGAAGGCAGATTAATACATGTAGAGAGAATGCAGTGATGGCACAGTATGGACAGATTAGATGGGAGGGATGATGAGGATGAGGGAGGCTAGGCTGCCTTTATTATGAGATAGCAGGGATAAAGGCACCTGCTGCCAAGCCTCATGACTTGAGTTTGATCCCCAGAACCTACAAGAAGAGAGAACCAACTCCACAAGCTACCCTCTGACCTCTCCCTCCAACGTGTGCCATAGCACACCACCTAAATAAATAAGTATATGTAAAACAACTTCTTAGGAACATTCACATGCCCCTCAGTCTTTGTATGAATATACACTTAATTTATCTAAGGAGCAGATAGAATGGCTTTTTAAGAGGTGGTCAAACTGTTTTACAAATTGGGTGTATCCTTTTACATTCCCAGTAACAGCATGAGTTCCAGTTGTTCTATAGCTTTGTCAACACTAGGTGTGGTTAGTCATTTATTAATTTGATTTACTTAATATATGCATGTTTTGCCTGCATGTATGTATATGCATCATGTGTTTGCAGTGCCCATGGAAGCCAGAAGATGGACCTGGAGTTAAAGATCACTGTGAGCCACTTGAACCCTCTGGAAAAGCAGCCAGTTCTCTTAACTGTTGAGCTATCTGTTCAGCTCCAGTAATTTTTATTTTAGCCACTCTAACACAAGTGTACAGGAATCTCACTGTGGCATTATTTAGATTTCCCTAATGACTACTAATATTGAGTAGCTTTGCCTTTGTAAAAAATGTCTGCTCAAGTATTTTCATATTAGATTTTATGTTTATTATGGAGTTTTGAGAATTCTTTACATTCTTTAGATTAAGACATTTATCAGATACATAATTTGGAAGGATTTATTCTGTTTGTAGTTTGTTTTTCATTCTGTTAATAGTGTCCCTTAAATAATAGAAGCTTTTAGTTCTGCATGTATTTTGCAGATAGAACAGGATGCTGTGATAGACTAAACATGGGTAGTTTGAGGAAGAGGACACCAAGATACACCACAATTTTGGGTGTGAGTAACTGAAGTCTGATTCCAACTGTACTGAGAAAACTAGGGCAAGCAGCTTGAAACATGTATGTCTTGTTTGGATACATGGTAACAAATGGGGTTTACAGTGTTTTAGAAAACACTTTGTACCTAATAGCATACACATATTCCCCAAAGTATTAGGTATTGACAATATGGAAATTGGTTCAGAAGTGAAGTAGTGAGATGACTGATGACTATCTAGTGGTGAGTGATGAGACAGAGCAAGCACATTTCATCACATGCTTCTGCAGAGTGAAGACCCAGGATCAGTTACTGGATATAATGGCTAGAAGACCGAAAGCTGGAGAAAGGAAGGTAGATACTTTAGGGATCCCAGGGTTTCAGGTGAAAGGTTAAGCTGATATTGCTGCTATTTTCTTTATTCTATTTTACTATAGTTTTGATTCCTAACACTTCCTACCCTAGGTATAAGGTTGCAGCCTGAAAAGCCAAAGGACAAGTAACACTGACCAATGAGCTCCAAGAAAAGCCCATGGGGAAGAGGATATTTTATGGCTATTTTGCATCCTGGCTCTGTCTTCCTTCCCGACTAGGAAATTTATTACAACTGTAACACTGAACTCTGCCTGTACTTAATCCTACTACTGTTGGGATGGATATTTATAGCAAGCCTCATTAATTCGGATAGATAGAGATGTTAAACAGCTGCAAGTCAACAACTATAAGGCATTCATATATTACCTGGTTTAATACTCAGAGTCTTTTTCAACATGGAATAAATAAGAAAGACCTACTCTTTTAAACCAAAGAAATAATTATTTTGCTGTCAGTATTGACTCAAAATAATGTTGACTTTGGATAGCCCTTATTACATGAATTTTCATCATTCTATTTCTTTATTTTGTAGTTACTGGGGGCATTTTCATTAAGCCTTACATTTTTAGCCATTCCCAATCAACGAAACTTACATCCATTGTAATGGGACACACATATACATTAACAAGGGCTAAATGTAACATAAAGTTGCTCTTTCCAGTGAGATAAGCTCCTCACTGACTTCTTTGTCTCCACATGACAAATAAGTAATGAGAATAACCAGTACTTCACACATGGAAGTGACTCTGAGTTCAGCTTTCCAGACTTTTCCTTTTATGTTACTGACATTTTAAGCATTTAGTGCCAGGAATCTATTCTGTATGGAGCTCAGACTACTCAGGATGAGAACTATAATCATTGGTAGAGACAAGAATTTCCAGAAAGAAATATGTTATTAGCCAAGATAGGCTTTGATAATGAAAGCCACTTTAACTTGTATAATGCTAAGACATTTTTTAAAGGATCTTAAAAATGACTTAAGCAGCTGCTATTGTCCTTATTTGGCAGCAAAAATAACTTCTAAATGGCAAAAGAGCTTCATTGGAGAAAACTGGTAGAAGTAAAAAAGAATAGTAATCTTCTAAGCTGTTCTTTTCATATCAGGAAAAAAATGCTAAAACTAAAAAAGTGAAAAAATACTGACGAATCGATTCTTTGCTGGGAAAATAAGAAATATTAGTATTAAAAAAGGTTGAATGCTTATTTCAAAAGTAATATTCTTTTTAATGTTATTGGGAACTGTACTTGGGATTTTATGCATGCTAGGAAAGTGCTTTATAACAAACAATAGCCCTCATTCCAGGAAATAATATTTCCAAGAATTAAGATTCACTGAAATGTCAAAATTGCTCTATAACATTATTACATGTCATCATCACCAGGAATACATTATTAACCAATATTTTTATGTATCTTAGTATCTTGCATAACCCTGGATGAAGCAGCATGGTATAATAGCCAGGGAAGATTTTCCAAGAAACTGGTATTTAAATAAGAATCTGATGATGGTGAGGGAACATATCACAAAGTAACCTAGGTAAAGAAAATTCTAGGCAAAGGGTATGGCTAACCCAGGAGGGTTTGAGGCATCCATGTACCTGTGGCCTGAGGATCAATCAGCAAGGAGGCCAGAATGACACAAACTGAGGCTCAGGAGACAAGGGCAGGGTAAAACCAGAAAGGTATCAGGAAACCCTGTTAGATAGCAGGTTAAGGAAGAATACTTCAGGAGAGAGGCCTGGATTCAGGCCTCATCATGGACAGACACTTACAGGCAGTAAAACTCAATGAGGTCTCCCAGGTACAGAGTGAGATGGGGGGAAAAAAAAGGATGAGGAGCAAGGATGAAGGCCAGGCAGTGGTATATCTATGTGATGTGGTAGGTATGGAAATGAGGGAAAATCAGCGAGATCTGAGGGGAGTCAGCCAGACAAGCAGAAGGGAAACAGAGGACAGGTATCCTCTGGAGCCAAGGAAAGAAAGTTTCAGGAGATGGAACTTTGTCAACAGACCAAGAAGGTCTGGCCCTGGGATCTGATCACTAGGTTTAACAACGGAAATGTGAAGGTCAGTAGTGACTAGAAAAGAGCTGTTTTCTTTTGAGATTTTTAGATTCTGGGGTTCAAACTTAGGGCCTTGCACATGCTAGGTGAGTACTCTACTAAGACATACCCATTGCCAATAAGAGCTGTTTCAGTGGGGTTGGTAGGATTGAGATCCTGACTAGTATGAGTTCAAGAGAAAGGGACTGGAGAAACGAGTACATATAATTCTTTTTAGTTTTGCAATTGAGGGAACTAAGAATTGGGGGAAGAAGCTGGAGGAATCTGTAGGAGCAGAAGAAGACAAATGTGTATGCATGCTTGTGGATGTAAGCAATAGAAACAAATCACAACACATTAGACCCAAAAGAACCAGAAAACTGATAATGTGGGAAAGAAGGAAGTAACCGGAGCAATGCCATACAGTTAGTGAAAGGGACAGGGTTAAGAACATAAATGATGGGCCATGGTAGGCTGAACTAAAGTCTTGGTTCTATCAGTGACAACTTTGGTGACTTAGGGAAAAATTCTGGACATCTCTGAGGATGTATTCTTCCTTATAAAGCAGGAATTTGCTGGAATTACAGCGCGATGATTTAATGAAGCAATACTATTTCCTGGTGCCTCAAGATATGGTTTTCCTTAATCTAGTAAAATGGGATAGGAAAGCTTTTGAAATGTGTCTTTCCCTTAAATCAGTAAATCTATACCAGTGAAGTCCTACAGAGTATACCGTTACACCCAAAATAAAGGTAATGTAAGATAACATGGTCACTTCAGCTGCTCCTTTTCTTTTGGTACATGTGTTTGCCCATACAGCTTCTGCCTTAATCTGCTTTTGTGCCCTGTCCAACAGCTGAATATCTTACATGTCTCAGACAAGGTACAAGACAGCAAGCACAATGGACAGAAGTGATGAAAAGGCCGAGAAACGAGCAAAGAGTGAAAAGGTCCATCTTCTAGGGTGGTGCATTACTGCTGTTAGCCTTTAAGTCCAGTGTGGGTAGGGACCCGTGAGTGCAGGTACCTTAAGCCATGGGTGATTCAGTGCTTCATAAACAGTGATCCTTTCTGCAGGATCCAGCATCAGCATGCGGCGTACTAGGTCTTTGGCACTTTCCGAGATATGGCTCCACTGCCTTGGATTCATCTGAGGAGGGAAAAAGGAACACTCCAGTTATTTTCAATGCTGACTATTGTTTAACATTCTATAGTATTTCAATCTACTATTTTCAGAGCAAATAACAGAGATTGGAAGATGGGTTTCCCAAGGAATAGGAGAACCCATGCAATGCTTTGGGATCATTTCCCTCATTACATGAGGGTTTGTATCAGCAGTTATTTTGTTGGTGCTGCTATATTGTAATATTTTCAATATTTAAAAGGCAGAATGGCCATGACTCTGGTTTCTAGTTTTTGATTCTCAGATAAGAAGGGTAGAATATACAGAGCTACAAAGTACTGGAATATATTGGAAATGGAAAAATTAAGAAAGATTCTGTTTTGTAGACAAGATTTCCTTAAGTTTAGGATGGACTAGAATTCACACTGTAGCCCAGACTGATCTTGAACCTCCAGTTGCTTTTGGGTGCTGTCATTACAGATCTGTCCTACCACACCCACTAAAGAAAGTTTGAAAAACAATGTCTTCAAATACTGGGATCAGGTGCTGAGTGTGGTATGTGTCACTGCAATTTTAGCAATGGGAGGCTAAGGCTAAGTGAATTGTGAGTTTGAGATCAGCATAGGTTGGATAGAAATTTCAAAAGGAAGAAAGAAAGGGAGGAAGGGAGAAAGAAAGAAAGGAAAGAAGAAAGGAAGGAAGGAAGAAAGAAAGGAAGAAAGAAAGGAAGAAAGAAAGGAAGGGGTAAAGGAAGGAAGGAAGATGCACACAAGCCCTAAAACAAGATTGGGAGCAACATTAAATGTGAAGCTATAAAAATTCCTTAATTGGATATTCTGAACACAGTATTCAAAATCTAAGGGAAAATACACTATCACCATACTCCTACTCCTGTTAAACAGCTAGTTCCACTTGTATACTGTACTTGGTGAAGTCACTCCTTTCTTTTAGAGAGGAGACAAGCAATTAGCGTGGTAACACTGAATAAAACCAAACAGTAAGAATTATGAGTTTTCAAAAAGACTTCTGAGAATGGTTGCGGATCTTTTGAGGCAAAAGCTGGACTGCTCCTGGGAAAGGGGATATTTCTAAGTCCAGAAATGAGAAAAAACACTCAAGGAAAGTGCTCAGAGCTTGGAGTTGGGAAGGGAAGTGGGAACTGGAGGTAGTGATGGAGGTGGATCCTGATCGAATGACCATGTGGGAGCTGCTTGATGCCAGGTGCTTCATGTAGTAGTGTGGCTTTTGTAACTGTTGTTGTTGTTTTTCAGGGCTGGAGAACCCTGGTCCTCACACATGCAAGGCCAAGTGTCACCTTTTAAGAGAAAATGATGGAGAATGAATACAGCTATTTAAAGCCAAAGGAAATCACAATACTTGCATCACAGCATGAAGGAATCATTACAATTTGTCCAACAGCTAGTGATAGATACTGTGCTTTGGCTCAGGTCAGGCTTTGAACTTACAGATGGGGAGGAAAAAGCATCTCCATACTGGGGAGAGCTCTTACAATTGGATGCTCTATTTTCCTTTTCTTGGAAGCAAAATTGCAAAAGCAACCACTTTCGTTTGTTGAATTTTTAGGATGGCTGGAATGAGATTGCTTCAACATTGCCACCCTATTGAAATTGTGGTCAATGGACCTATTTGAAAGTGGTTACTAATTAGGCAGGGCCTAGACAATTATGTTCTCCTATCATTTTGGGGGGACGCAACTTGACACAAACTAGAGTTGTCTAGGAAGGGGAAGCTCAATTGAGAAAATGCCTCCATTAGATTGGCCTATAGATAAGTCTGTGGGGATTTTCTTGATTAATGATTGATATGGGAGGGGAGGGCCCAGGCCACATCCCGTGGTCCTGAGTTGTATAAAAAAATCAGACTGAGTAAGCCATGCGTCACAAGTCCATATTCAACACTGGACCATAGTCTCTGCTTCATTCCCTGCTTCCAAGTTCCTGTGTTGGCTTCCCCCACCCACCCCACTGATGGACTATAATCTGTACGCCAAATAAACCCTTTCCCCCACAACTTGCTGTGTGTCATGGTATTTCATCACAGTGGTCTAACTAAGACACCCTTCTTCTCTAACCCGGGACTCATGTGCTCTTCAAAATCTGATTTTTTTCCCTTGGCAAATAAAAAGATCCAAAATTGGTGGTTACAAATTCTGAAGAAAGGGTTTGCATTGGTAATTTCCTTCTCTTTTTATGAGGGTGTCTAACCCTGACAACATAGTCCTTCGGCTGGCAAAACTGGATGGGGGTGGGGAGGGACTGGGTTAGAAAATAGTCATTTATTTGAACAGCATTTACTTGAAATGCTAGCACATACTCCAGTGTAATAGTATTCTCTGACATCTACCTTAAAAGAACAAGTAAGGGGAGAGGACAAATACTATGGGTTTTCTCCCCTACACAGAATCTAGATTTAAAACATATACATGCCATGAAGGCAAGAGGGGAGCTATTTGGAGGAAGGGGATGGGAGGAGGGAGGGTGGATAATGGAGTAGCAAATATATCTATATCTATATCTATGTATATATATACACATGCATATATATGTGTGTATATGTACATAAAAATCTCATAAGGAAACCCACTGTTTCGTATGCTAGCAAAAATGTAGTAAGAAAATGGAAAAAAAGGATCAAGAAAGTCAGCAAATGAGAATCAGCTCTAAGTCCAATCACAAGAGTAGGGGCAGCTTCCAACTGAGCTATACTACACTCAGAAGGTGGCATGGAGCTTTTCCTAGAATTGTTCAAGATCAGGATTTTACTGCTGCTTTTGATAAGTTCCATCAGGGTGTGGAAATGATTTTAGTTTCTGAGATGTTTTGGAATAATCTAAAAGTCTATGAAATGCAGAGTAAGATTATAATATATTAGTTATGGAAGCCCAAGGCTCTCCTTATCCTTGTGTGATCGATGATTTCCATAATGAAGAAGCAGCAGTACATATTGATAGAGTCGTATCACAGTATGGAAAAAAATAAAGACAGACGTGGCAGAAATGGATCTACACTTTAAACTGCTGATGAAAATCTGGGCCTTTTGTAAAGGAAGCCTTGAAGACAAACAAGAAGTGAGATTAGCCAAAGAAAATGGGAAATAAGCTGTAAGGAGCAAAGCTTCAAGTATTTAAAGCATTGGATTCTTATTTTTACACCTTGGTACAGAAATGGTGGTAAAGCTGCTATCTTATCACTTCCTATAATATTGTCACCATTTGCTAGGAATAGGAAATTTTAAAATAACTAGATTTTTTGGACATCACAAACAGTCTAAATTTCTTACCAAGGCATAAAAATAAGTATTCAATGCTTTAAAAATAGACAAAATCAAATACCAGACGCTGTTGGAATGAAGCACATTGCCTTGGAAACCAGGAAGTTAGCAACTGAACAAACAAAAAGGAGGAATTCTATTATTAGCAAATGCTTATAACTCAAAAGGGCAGGTGGGAGATTTTATTATATGGTGACTACGCCATCAGCTGCTGAGAAGATTCAGTGAAATGCTCAGTGCAGTTCCGGGTGCATATGAAGTACTATGTCTCAGCTGCTAGCATTGCTGTTATCTTATTAACCTGATACTTTTCTTTCTTTCTTTCTTTCTTTCTTTCTTTCTTTCTTTCTTTCTTTCTTTCTTCCTTCCTTTCTTTCCGGTGTTTTTGAGGCAGCCTCACTATGTAGCCTTGGCTAGTCTTTAACTTTCTATGTAGACGAGGCTGGTGTCAAAGTCATAGAGATGTTCTTGCCTCTGGCTCCCAAGTGCTAGGGTTAAAGGCAACACCACCATGCCTGGCCCCTGGGGCACTTTTCAAGTGAGTCTCTCCCAATACATTATTATTATTTGCAACTTCATTTGATTTAGTAACATTCAGTCAGAAAGCCCAGTCTATGTATTTCTGATAATTGCTCACAATCTCCAAGGGTAGGAAGCAACGACTGCTTAAAAAGCAACCTCCTAGAGTATTTATTTACCTTGAAAGTAGTACTGTTACTTACTAGTGGTCAACTGACTCTAAGAGAAGCAGGAAAAAACCCTATATTTATAACTCTGTTTCAGAAGGATACTGTTTGCTCTTATGAGCTGACAGTGCATAAGGCAAACAAACTAAATTATCCACCATTTTCACCTCCATGTGCAACTCTGAAACTACTTTTCCACATTATGGGCTAGAAAGATGGCTCAGCTGTTCGAATGAGTGTTGCTGTTGCAGAGAACCTGCCCTCAATTCCCAGCTTCCACACAAGGCTCCTAACAACCACCTGTAACCCCAGTGGTAGGGAGATCCAATGTCTCTGGCTTCCACTGCACCTGCTCTCTGGTATTCATACCCACACACAAACACATATATACACACACTTAAAACTCAAATAAATCTTTAATAGTTGTAACTGACAAAATGAAAAGGAAATGTTAGTGGCCCCAGTCTGGGAATCTAGTGTTACTTAAACTTGTATTTGGTCTTATGGTATCAGGCATGGCTAAAAAGGAAGCAATGATTCAGTTGAATACAAAACATGAGCTTCAGTGACAATGGGAAAAAAACTCCCCAACATTAAGTGCCTTGACCAGATACAAAGACACACACTCTCACAGTTCCAAACCCTACCAGCAGCAAGTGTTGGAATATGGCTAAAAAGGTAAGAAGAATTGGAACTGTGAATGGGCCTTCAGCTTACTTATTTCTGAGATGCCTTAGGTCTTTTTTGATATAACCCTCCACAATGTCAAAAATAGCATTACTTAAATAATGAAAGAAGTAACCTGGTAATTATAAGGCAATGATAATAGCTGAGAAAACCTCAGCTCAGTAGCTATAGAATATGAATGTTTAACTTACATCAAAAGCCTCTAAATTAGGGCTGAAAACATGGCTTAGCTTTTCTGGAGTTTGGGTCCTAGCATTCATGTTGGGTGACTCATCACTGCCTATAACTCTAGTTCCAGGGGATCAAACACCTCTCTGACCTCTGCAGGCACCTGCATTCATATGCAGACACATATACAAAATTGAATTAGTAAAATCAATTCTTTAGAGAAAATACCTCTCAATTGTTACGGAATATGGTTGTGATGACCATATCAGTTTACTCTGTAATATAAAGTCATTTGTCTGCTATGATGGTGGGAATTTAAAATTAGGATAAGAAATGACTGTAAAGTACCTGTGTGAAATTCCCATTTGAATGTTATAAGTTAAGAAAAAAGCCTTAAAAATAAAAGCCTTTTCCTAAGTATAGAAGAAAGGCCCATAAAGGTCTGCTTCTCATTGAATTGAGCTCATGGTGACTCAAACCTACCCAGGCCCCACTGTGCTTCACAAGACTACTGGGTCCCGGATGTCAACACAGACTTTTGCTATGGTGGGGTTGGTAACTAGGTGACAGTCAGTTGGTGAGCAAAGACAGACAGCAACTTCAAATACCTTTTGGGATCTTTTAATCCAAATGGAAAATAAAAGTCATAAGCCATTACCTTGTACTTTCCTTTAATAATGCCTTCGAACAATCTCTCCTTGGTTCCATAGAAAGGCAAACAACCGCTGAGCAGGATGAAAAGGATCACGCCACAACCCCAGACATCAACAGGTTTTCCGTAAGGCTCTCTCTTGACAACTTCTGGGGCCATAAAGTGTGGTGTTCCAACGCGTCCTATATTTAAAACAACAACATACTGGAAAACTGCTTTTATGAAATGAGTTTTTCCTACTTGAATTCTGAAATTAAAAAAAAAAAACAGTATCAATTGGGCGGAGGTGGTGCACACCTTCAATGTCAGCACTCGGGAGGCAGAGGCGGATCTCAATGAGCCTGAAGCCAGCCTGGTCTACAAAGTGAGTTCCAGGACAGCCAAGGTTATACAGAGAAACAAAAGCAAAAGGTAATATCAGTCTAAATGAAAAATTTACCAAAATCAATATTCTTAACACTACTTCATTTTCCCTTACAAAAGGAATTCATGGAAGGAAAACATAGTTTATCTGACTACCTTTTGAAAACACCGAGTCTAGCTATTTCTTGCTTCTTCAAGAAGTTTAAATGTACTAATTTAGAGCCAGCTCAGGGGCAGGGGCAGTGAGCAACAATTTGATGGCAAAACACTTACTTTTAATTGCCAAGTTCTTATCAGATTGATTGTAGCCAATTCTCAATGGTTACTGGAAAGGGAATTAGCTCACTCCTAATGCTAATATTTGAAGAAAATGAGAGCAAACAGATGGCGTACACTAAAGCAAAATCAGGAACTCCCTCCCTCTTTTTTTTTTTCTTTTTGGTTCTCTGTGTAACAGCCCTAGCTGTCCTGGAACTTGGTCTGTAGACTAGGCTGGCCTTGAACTCACAGAGATCTGCCTTCTGAGTGCTGGGATTAAAGGTGTGCAGGCCTGGCTCATAGGAGTTGAATGCCAAAGCACCATCTGATTCTGACTTTCATCTTTAAAGAATTTTCCCTTTTTCCTCCTTCTAGGACTAGCTGCTTGCACATTATAACCATCTTTAACTGAGTACCCTCAAGACAGTCGTTTCCTCTATGGAGGGATAAAGGGCTTAAACTCTAGGGAAAGGACTTTGGGATGGGTCACTGTCTAACAGACTTGGCAGCTCTTACATTTTGCAGGCCCAGCCTTGCCTTCCTTCCTCTGTTTGTGGGCCTGTCTCTTCTTATGCTGAATCCAAGATCATCTTTACTTTGAAGATTGCAAAATACTTTATCTCACTGTGGTCCAGAGTTTAAAAAGAACCAAAGAAATCTTTCAGTCCATCTACAGAGAATATGTTGCAAAGGCCTGTTGGTGGTTATCAAACTCAGCTGGGATGGAGAGGGCTTTGCAGTTTAGTCTGCTTTCCCTCCTGTTCCTCATAATGCAAGAGTAAGCTCAGGTTTCCAACACAGAAGACACCTTCAGTCAAAATGTGCAATGAAAACTCAGTACCGACTACAAGGACCTGATGAAAGGAATAGTTTTTATTCTGGATTGTCTGAATTTGCTTCCTCAAGCAGCATAAAGGAGCTGCAGTGTTGGGAGCTGAACCTCCGTGTTCCCTGGCAGCTTCCATAAGGCAGAGTTCCAGGATAATAAACACTGATCTGATGGACACAGCAGAGGCTGGCAGAAGTAGGGAAAAGGAGGGCCAAGGGTTCAGGGTATCATTAGAAATACTGCTCCCAGGACAGTCGGGTACTTGCTGAGAAATTCATATGATACTTTTACGATCAACTCCTACGACTTCCTACACAGGTCGAGTGACTCATTCTGTGTGTGTGAGGGGGGCTCCTTGTGGGGAATAATCCAAACCACCCAGTCTAGTTAGCACTCTTTCTTTGGAGGATGTATACTCTGAGCTCAAGAATTTGCTCAGAGATAACAGAGATACACTGGTGGCTTTCTAATGTTAACTACATCAGTAATGTGAAACACTTCAGCAAACTCTTTGCTTTTGCTACTAATTTTCATTTTTTTTTTCCTGTGACCACTTGACGTTTATGACTTTGATCACAAAATTCTAAGAACAGGAAACCAATTACCAAACCAAACATGCAACTCTTTATGAAATACCTCAGATATTTACATAAATATTTACATGCTATATTAATGCAATGATAAAACCCTTCCTCAAACTTCAGGAGGGCGTTGTTCTGAGTGGTTACACTTTTTAGTACTTTAGGATTTGCATCTCCATATACACAGCCTCTTTTACCTTTTGTAGGCATTTTACAGTTTCCTATTTATTTTACATAGGATGTTACTTGTCAGTCAACCTTTTGGTGGTGACTTGCAGCTGTCATCCTGGCTATTAACAAAGAAGATCCACTACAGAACAGATCGAACTTCCAGGAACTTCACAGGTATGTAAGGAGAGATCTCTGTAAGTGGTCCCACTGTCTTTCATTTAAACATTTCCAAAGCTCTTGTTAGGTCTTCACCACCATGGTAGGTTTGGCAGATATATAGAGGGATGAGCTATGGCTCTCCCACTCCTTACAAATCTCTTGTCTTTGCTGTTACTACATGTTCTTGATCAAATTTTGTAAGGAAGTAGGTAACTTAGATAGTTCTGGTTACATGGAAGAGGAGGGATGATGGTTATAATGTGCTTGCTTTTAAAGGGCAGTAATTGCTAGTTTGGTCTTGAAGCAAAAGACTACACCTGACAGATTAAACAACAAAAGGCATTGTAAACAGATGGACTAGCAGGTGCAAATTATGAGGGGCCACAAATCTATACAGTTTTACCAAAGCCAGGCAGAAGTCCTCTGGTGTGTGCATTTAGTTCTCACCAGAGAAGACTATGAATGGATTTTAATGGTAAATGGTTTTACTACATTGTAATTATTTTCTAGGTGGTATTCAAGGTAAGTGGATTCTCTAAACAGTCAAGTGTTAGATGAAGTTAAGTGGGTTTAGCATACTGAACATGTAAAGGAGATAATCCTTTCTATTTGGTAGCCCAGGTAATCAAAGATTCCAATCTACAGAGGGAAAAAAGCTCTCTGTTCCAAAGTTGATAAACATTAGGAAAATTTCAAAAGTACTTTGGACAACAGGAAAACGTTTTTTCTAAGGGACATCATGGATCCCTGTGTTTTAAAGGCATGCAATGTTTGAAAAAGTTACTTCAAGAATATATACAAAGGTTCATTAAGAAGTGACAGTATTTTGACTATTAGGAAGTATTTTAGAGCTAGAGATGTAGCTCAGTGGAGGGCCTGCCTAGCATGCACAAGCATTGAGTTCTATCCTTGGCACCATGAAAATTTTGTGTGATGATGCACATCTGTGACCCTAGTGCTCAGAAGGTGGAGTTAGGAGGATCAGAAGTTTAAGGTCTTTTTCGATTCCTTATCAAGTTGGAGGCCAGCCTGGGCCAAATGAAATTCTGCCTTAAAAGAAAGTTTAAAAGGGATTTTCATTCTAGAGCATAGAGAATAGTAATTTTTGAATAATGGACATGCCATGAGTTCAAAACTAGTTGTAAAAAAAAAAAAACGAAAATAAAAAACAAACTAGTTGTAAAATAAAAATTAGGGGGAGGGTTCATGGACTTTAAGAAAATGGCTGAACATGGAGGCAAACTTAATGAATATACTTCCTCCTTTCAGTCAAGATTTGTGAAATAGAATCCATGCCACAGTGAATACGAACAGAACACAGATCTGGAGTAACAGACACAGAGTCATTCATTACAGCGCACATAAAAGGAATTTGGCTCATTTTCTCTCATTCTCGTGTTATTGTTTTTCAAGACAGGTTTTCACTGTGTGGTGCTGGCTGTCCTGGAACTCACAGAGATCTGCTTGCCTCTTGCCTCCCAAGTGCTGGGATTAAAGGTGTGTACCACCAACACCTGGCCAGAGCCTATTTTTAAGGGACTGAAATTCTAGTTATGGCAGCAGAGTTACTAAGTTGAAAACTCTCTGATAGTGCTGGGTAGAACAGGGTGTGAAATACTTAGGCTGGATTAGTATCTAGTTTGAAATTTTACACCAACTTAAAAGTTACTAGGTTTTGAAGGGGGCACACAAATATGGTACAATGGTCTTACCTCCAGCAACAAGTCCAGATTCTCCTAACTGGATAGCTACTCCAAAGCCCCCAAGTTTAACAGGTGCCGAGTTTTCTTTTGAGGCGAGGAGAACACAGTGGGGCTGAAAAGAAAAACGGACAATCAAACCCAAAGATAAGAATTAATGGAAAATAATTCAATTTACACAAAACTAAATAATACAATATAATAGCACTTTTTAAAATGTTAGAATTGGTTTGGCAAGATGGCTTAGAGGGTAAAGGTACTTGCCCAAGTCTGACAACTTGGAATTCACAAGGTAGAGAGAGAACTAACTCTTACAGATTGTCTTCTGCCCCCCCATAAAACTACATGTATTACAAATAATTTAAAAACTTATTATGAAAAAAACAAATTTCAGAGCCAGGCACTGGTGGTGCACATCTTTAATCCCAGCAATTGGGAGGCAGAGGCAGGCGGATCTCTGTGAGTTCAAGGCCAGCCTGGTCTACAGAGTGAGTTCCAAGACAGGCTCCAAAACTACACAGAGAAACCCTATCTTGAAAAACCTAAATAAATAAATAAATACACAAATTTCAGTTAAAACAAGCTTCTGAAGGTGGGTAGTAGTGCTGTACACAGGCAGGTAGATCTCTGAATTTGAGGCCAACCTGGTGTACAGAGCAACTTACAGGACAGGCTCTAAAGCTACAGAGAAACCCCGCCTCAAACAAACACACAAACAAATAAAGCTTCTGAATTACTTTATATGCTGAATTCTTTGTCCTCTTCTCACTTCTTAATGCTTTCTCTAAAGAGTTAAGAATTGTTTTCAGTTTTCTTTTTTTGTTCAGTAGTCTCTTCATTTGATTGACAGTTTATATTTGTTTCAGCATGGTATACTGCCTCCTGCTACAATGTGATTTTACTTATAGTTACTATAGTTTGACTCTTAGGGGCTTCCAATGGCCCTTTCTTTGTTCACCCTCCTCATCCTCTTTCTTCTTCTTCTTCTTTTTTTTTTTTATATTTTTTTCTACTCCTGAGTAAAAGGAATCAAATGGTTATTTTGTTGTTTTTTTTGAGACAGGGTTTCTCTGCACAGTTCTGGCTATCTTGGAATTTACAGTGTAGACCAGGCTGGTCTCAAACTCACAGAGATGTGTCTGTCTCTTCCTCCCAATTTCTGGGATTAGAGGTGTGAATGTTGGGTTTTCATAACTTAAATTGAGCTGTGTTCCTTGCGATTTCTCCCTGGGCATGTCTTGCCTGTGGACCTATTTTCTTTCCTACGTTGTAGTAACAATGGTGGTCTCCTTGTAGAACCCCCTCTTCACCTGTTTCTTCTTGGAAGTTTGTTGGAGGTGGTGTCAGGAAAGAATAGTTGTAGTGACCTTTGGTGCCTGCTCAATTACTATAATCTCTGATACATCTGAAAGTATATTTGAATGATTTTCAAAATGTGGTTTAGTATGAAAAGACAAGCCTTTTAAGCTAAAGAACTTTTTATTCTCTCTTATATGACAGACATCCAGGTGGGTATAAGCCACCCAGTGTATGTGCTGGGAACTGATAAGTCAGTTTAACTGACAAGACAGTTGGCTTGAAAAAACAGCTCCACCACCCTGCCCAAAAAAAAACTGAGCCAGTGTACCCATACAGATGTTTGACAATGATAAGCACAAGTAGGAGGGATCCTTATTCTTCCCAATAAGAGCATCAGAAATATACTCCAGAAGTTACTTTTACTGTTAGAACAATTTTAAAGGCCTTTACATAGTTATCATAAAGAAAGGTGAACCCTCAAATATAAGTGCACACAAGTATATGAGAAAGAAGGGGGGAGGAAAAGCAGGCATACAAATGAATAGTGAACACAGTGGCATGACAAAACCCTGAGAAGAGTCCATGGGAGCTGAGGTTGCAGCTCAGTGTAGAGCACTTGCCTAGCACACGCAGGCCTGAGAAAGGAAGGGCGTGACACAGGAGAAGATACACCTTAGATCCAAACAGGGTCTCTGGGGCATGCTGGTGCAAGCATATTATAATCTTCTTAGGGAAAAGCATATGCTTAAGTCAAAAGCCCATGGTATATTCCTCATAGTCAGTTGACTATATTTATTTTGAGGTTAATGTGATACCGTAATCTATGTAATTCTTATCACTATGTGGATTCAGCCATTTTCAATCAATTATGTGTGAAGCACCATAAAATTTGAACTCTAGGTAAAATACAACAAATCCACAGATACAAGTGAATAGACTATAAGGCAGAAAGTATATAACGTAAAATTAAGCTGGTGTGGTGAGGATTTGGGAACTGCTATTTTATTTGGGTGGGCTTTTTTATTGTGGCAAAATCTGAACAGAAACTAGGATGAAGTAAAAATAAAAGTAAGTCATGTACTCTGGGAAGAGCAGACACTCAATAAATACAAAGGTCCAGATATGTGGGGGAGGGTTGGTATGTATGAATATTGGAAAGAAGGATAACTGAGAAAGGATGAGCATAGGTAGAGTGGTAAAAATGTGATCAGACAGCCTTAAAACCATGGTCAACAGTGCATTTTACACTGATAATGATGGAAAACTTAACAGAAATTCTGAACATGGAGCACTATACTCACCTTTGGGTTTAGAAAGAGTCACTCTGACTGCTCTGAAGATCAGTGATTGTAGAAACACAAGAATGAGAAAAGAGGCCACTGCTACTTATCAGGCATGAGAGGATGTTGATATACACAGAGCACGCCAAGAACTCATCAAACAGAGCTTATGTTCTAAAGGTAAAGCTGAGAGGATTGCTGATGGATAGATGTGTGAGAGAAAGAGGCAGGTCAAGCTTGACAAACAGGTTCTTGCAATTAGCTTTGGAGTGAAAATAAAGGTTCCATTTACTGGAATGGGGAATCCTAGGGGAAGAGTTTGAAAGATGGACTATTGAGTGCTAGGTCTTATAAAAAGGATAGGGCAGGGACTGAGATTAGAGATGTGAATTTGGAGATCAACAGCACTCTAACAGCCAAGATAATGGAATCAATTTCTAAGGGAGTGACTACTATTGGAGAAGAGGATAGAGAGCTGGGTCTTAGTGGGTAAATGGAGGGCAGAAAGAGGAGAAGAATCTGGCAAAGGAAAACAGAATGGTCAGACAGTGAAACAAAATGAGCATCAGAGTTTGCATTTCAGAAGCCAAGTGAAGAAACTTTTTTTTTTTCAAGAAAAAATGCTTAGTATTGATCAATGCTATTAAGACTATTTTAAACTGAGAACTGAGAACAGATGATTAGATTTGGCAGGTTGGAAGTCACTAGTACCCATGATGAAAGCAGTATTGGTGGCACAGTGGAGATAAAAATGTCCACTGCACTAGGTTCTGCAGGGAATGGGAACAGGAAGTATAGATAGGTGGCAAAGATTTCTGTGCTAGGAATGGAGATAGGGGATGCAGCTAGAGGAACAAATGGAACTGAAGAAGTCCCGCCCCCTCAACTTTTTGACATTTACAATTGGAGGAAAATAAACTTCCATATACCCACCCATCTAATACAAATAATTATTTATTGACATTCTGCCATTCTCTAAAGCTTTTTATTATGTGTGTGTGTGTGTGTGTGTGTGTGTGTGTATGTGATTGTGTGCCATTTCAGAGGACAACTTGAACAAGTCAGTTCTTTCCCTTCCCTGTGTAGGTTCTGGGGATCACAGTCAGCAGGCTGAGCATCTTGTTGGCCCCTATTCTGTCAATTTTGCTGTGCCTATCCTCATTAGTTACTCTTTTTGCTCAGATATTAAAAAACCAATCATATAATTCCACCTATTTACCACGTTCAGTGCTTCTAACACAGGACTTAAAAATAATGACATTTTTAAATATAAATAACTTATGTAAAACATTTTATGTAAATCATTACCACATCAAAAAGGCAATGACTATAATGATCGTTCTTTTAAAAAAGATTTTATTTTTATGTCTCTTTGTGTGTGAATATGAGTGCATCGCCTGCAGAGGCTGAAGAGGGTATCTCACTCTCTGGACCTGCAGTTACAGGAAGTTGTGAGCCATTTGATGTGTGTTGGAGCCTCTGGAAGAGCAGGAAGTTCTCTTAATTGCTGAGCCAACTCTCTAGTCCCTCTAATATTTGCACTATGTTCATTCTTTCTTGACTATTTAAACAATGCTTTTTAGTTGTGCTTTAGTTTAAAATAAGACCCAAAATCTAGCATTTGGGAGGTGAAGACAGGGCGATCAGGAGAAACTGATCACAGTTTCCCCTCCCTCTTGTCCTTCCAGTCCCCTCTTTTCACCTACTCCCTCCTCTTCCACTCCTCCTCCATTCAGAAAGGCGCAGGCCTCACATGGGCTTGAGCAAAGCATGGTGCATCAAGCTGAGGCAGGACTGAGCTCCTCCCCTAATCTTGATTAGAGTCAGGTTCGATTTCAGTTTTATGTACTGATACTTGATGTGGTTTAATGGTTATATCTCATCAGTAAGAACATGTCTGGTTGCCCTGCTTTAGTTACAAGTTTCAGATGTAGGTTCAGTTGCTATTTGTCTGACCCATCATGAGATTTATTATCCAACTGCTCACTTAATGAAGTTAGCAGCCTCATTTCATAGATTCATACTTTGAGATTCTAAAATGTTAGTTTCTGTAAAAATCCTGAAGTAAAATTTACATAGCACAAAATGCACACGTCATAATGTACTACTAGAGAGTTTTGATGATGTGCATCTATACAACCCAGAGTCCTACCAGAACAGTACCACCTGCTCAGAAACCTCCTCATCCACTTCGCATCCAGTCTCTGCTGCCATCCCACACTCTTCTTTGAACTTTCCAGCAAGTGCTCGCTCTGCTAGTATTCAGACTTCGTATATATGAAAGCATATGCCCTGTTTCATGCAAGGTTTCTTTTAGCCCCTTTCCTAGATCTAGCCAATTTCTTGTAATCAGGAAGGGAAGTCATTTCTTTTTATTACTGTATTCCATAGTATTAATCAACCCATTTTTCTACTCTCCTATGACTTGGCATTTTAAGCTGTTTCCTCCCTCCTCCCTTCACCCCCCCCCCGTGTGTGTGGGGGTATATACATGTGTGTGCAAATGCACATGCCTATAAACATGGAGGTCAGAGGAAGCATCAGGTGTCATGCTCTATCACTTTTCACCTTACACCTTTGAAAACAAGTTGCTCACTGAACCTGGAGCCAGACTGGACACCAACAAACCCCAGGGATCCTGCTGACTCCACTCCACCACCTTTCACTGAAGTTACAGGCCTGTGTGGCCATGCCCAGCCTTTATGGGTACTGGTATCTGAACCTGGGTCTTCATGCTTGTAGAACAAGTGCTCTTAGCCACTGAGCCACCTCTGCATTCCTCTTGTTTCCTTGCTATTTATTATGAATAAAGGTACTATGAACCATTTCCAGAAGATAGCATTTATATCTAGGCAACTTTCAAAGGTGACTTACAAGCATTTTATATTAAGAATTTATAGACTTTACTACATTTGATATGTTTCAATCAGTTGAATAATATTGGAATCAGAAAATCACCACCTGTAGTTTTCATGAACATAATTGATCCAGGTAAGACTCTCCAAGGTTGCTAACTAGTTGGGCAAAGTTTGAAGAGTGATAGGATATTCATATATTCTCAAAGTACCTCCCTACAACATACCTACTAGTTATAAAAAGGGGAATAGTAATATTTCAAGGGAGAAGCCTAGAAGAAACTGGTGCAGAGAATATTGCTAATAATGGGACTAGCATGGTCTCTGCTATGATGTACTGACAAGCCAGTGACACTGTCATGGTATCCTTGGCAAAGAGTACAATTAGATCTAATCGTGGAGAAATGCCCAAGAAACATTTTAGAAAGCAGCAGGCTTATATTCTTCAAAAAAGCCCTGGATTCAAGGGTTTCAATGAAACTAAAGAAATATCATAGATAAATGGGATCTTATTGTACCAGGATACTATTAGGGCAACTGATGAAATTTGTAAAGGAATGTCAAATACATAATGGTATTCTTTCAATGTAAATTTCCTGTTTTGATTACTGTACTACCCAATGTAGCTTTTTTTGTTAAGTCTAAAATTATATCCCAAACCCCCATCCTGTTTTTCAAAGGCACCTAAAATAACTTCTCCATGTGGTTATGCTTTCATTTTGTCGTGTAATGAAGCTCATTTAGTTTAATTAGATTTGGACAGTTTGGTGTTTCAATTACACAAAACATGCCTGTACTTCCAAACTCAAAACTGCCAGATGATAATACTCAGAGAGGTCTCGTTTTTGTCTTCTTTTACTACCCCTCAATATCTCCCTCCTCATTGGTAGGATATAAAAATAAGAAATAAAATGCATAAAAAATGCATTTCCTGTGATGTGCCCTGTATAAAGGAGGTTTCCTTTCTAACTGATTCTATTTTCTTAGGGAAATGAAAAGCATCTACCAGGTGAGAGTTGGGGAAGGAAATGGGGCTGAAGGTGTGAAACACTATTTTTAAAGGAGGATGAACCAGGGTAGTGGTTCTCCAGTTTTAGCATCAGCATCACAGATTGTTGGGCCTCATCCCCTGATTTCCTGGCTGTTGGGTCTTGATGAGATTTGGAGTATACATGTGTTACAAGCTTCTGATTTATTAATGCTAGTGGTCTGGAAGTCATCCATTGAGAATTCCTGGACTAAGGACATTTGGATTCACATTAAGAACTGCTGGCAGTCCAGGGGGCTACTTAAGGTTTTTTTTTGATAGCCAATCTGAAGCCAGAGCACTGTGTAGTATTGTGTCCTTATCTTCCCTGGGGAGGTTCAGGTTCAGGTCTGGGGGAGGGTGAGCTGAACTTCACTAGGGTTGGGTTTCACATAAAGAGGGTATGGTGATAAATAGAAAGTTTAGAATGAACAGGACAGGCTCACATACAGAACTAGAAGATAATACTCCAAGCTGATGGCAACCCTGCTGACTGACATTGAGGAGAAATGTGGCAAAATATGAGAACACTAAAGTTTAACAACACAATTTGAAATGGGATGGCCTAGGTGGGAGACAACAGTACAATACAGAGATAGTACTTGTATTTTAGGAGATGAAAAGCACTTTATGATTCTTTTAGTCATAAAAATTCCTGCAAGGATTTTAAAGAGTTATTTGCATGTTTGTCAAAGCAGTATTCAGAACTGCCAATAAGTGGAGATAATCTACATGCCCACCGAAAGATAAATGAATAAAAAAAAAATATAGTCAAACAATGGAATATACAGCCTTAGGTATGAAGGAAAGTATGTTATATGCCACAGCATAATATTGAGACTAGGAGGAGAGAACATTAGTGTATAGTGGTTTAGAGTTTTAATTTTACAGCATGAAAATGTTATGTGTTGTATGCTGATTTAAGTACACTTGGCACCAGCAAAAGATACACTCAAAACTGGTTACTTGATAAATTCAGTGGTATGCGCTACTTACCACAGTAAGGGAAAAAAAAAAAAAAAAAAAGACTGACAGACAGACAGTAAGCCTCTTTTTTTCTCAGAGATTCTCAGGGGAAGTAAGAATTGTCAAACATTTTATTCTAGCAATGTAAAAAATATTGTCTTGTGTATTAGAATCTTAACAAACTAAAAGCTCTGGAGAATATGATATTTAGAAGAATATAACCAGAAATACTTAGGGTGATAGAAGCTCAATGAGTTAAATAATATTTAAACAAAGTACAGAATAGCAAGTATGTTCTAAACTACGACCAAAAGGGGAAATGACACACAAGTGCAGGACAGCAGTTACACAGATGAATTGATGGTGGTTAAATAGTGGACTGGGACCAGAACGGAAGCAGCAGAGTCTCGTCAGATTTTCCTTGAAATAGGAGAGCCTGCTCCGGTTTACTTGGGTAAGCTTATTGTTGTGATGAGGTGAGACTAGTACTACAAATCTCACCTCATCCTCAATTTTTAAGGTTGTTTTAGAAAATCAATCTAGGGTCTTAAAGGAAGATATGAAAGTATAGTTATAAAACTAACATAGAAACCAAATAAAATGGCAGCAAAACGGGAGAAAAATAAGTGATCACTAATGTTAGTATAATTCAGGGCACAAAGACCATTTCATGGCAGTAGCAACTTCTAAAACAAACTGAGAAGAAACAGAAATTCAGGGCTTGTATTCTAAAATCCACACAGCAGACCACTCATCATTTCTCAGGAAAGGGGAGCCTGCTCGTTTCTGCTTGTATTTGATAGCTTGTTGGCTATTTTAGAGGACAACCAAAGCACTCCGTAGTTTAAGCTAGAAGGGACACATACAGAAGATCTAATTTCCTAAAGTTCAGCTTCAAGCTGTTGCTCACAGTGGGGGTCTTTTCATAGCTTCAAAAGGAGCCCAAAGGCTGTCACACTGAAAAAAGAAAGAAAAGGGGAAAAACAACTGTACCACATGTGGATATAAAGAAGAGAACTCTAGCCAATTGCACCATCACCGGATGGAAGAGCTCAGCTCTCACAACCTGGTCTAGGGAGCTTTGGGTTTAGTCCTTTTACTTCAAGAACGCCTCCACTGTAAGTATTCTCTGATATTTTTAAACTACATACACAAGCCTTTGTTTTTGTTAAAACTTGACTATGTGAACATTCAAAGTGAAGCTCAATGTATGCTGACAATGCTACTTTGATATTAGCAAATCTTTACTTTTTAGAGCCACTGAGTAAATTGCTTGGACAATACCTCTGCTTGGTTTTCAAAGGAGGGTCTGTCTTTTTGGATGGGGTATTTAATAACAATACAGTCACATCATTTATGTGACATTGTTTAGTGTCATAATGATTTGCATATGTACTTAAAGCTACTATAAGTTATTTTCAGATACTATAAACTTAATTGTAATGTACTACAAACTATGTATCTGATCTCTTGACTTCACTAAACTATATTGTCTCCCTATCTTAAATATCTTTTGTTAACTTATTACTATCTTATGGAACTTACCAGACCAATTAAATTTTATATGTTATGTTTAGGAAATAAATACAGGGAATACTCAAGAAAAGAAACCACAATATATTTTTAAAAGAATTAATTCAAACAACTAAAATTAAAAGTGGACAGTTAAGTTTATAACAAAACTAAATATACTACTAATATTATTTCCCAAGTAACATGCTTTCAATTGTTCCATATGCAGCAATTACTGCAACTTTTGAAGCATGACCTAAATGGATTCAGTCTATTATCAGTAAATAATCAAATGGGTATGTATTTCAACATGTGATGTTGATAGAAACAACACCCAAGTTGTATTTTAAAAGCTATTTTCGTTTTTGTTTGCTTGTTTGAGACAGGGTTTCTCAGTAGCTAGGGAGCCAGTCCTGGAACTTGCTTTGTAGACCAGGCTGGCCTTGAACTCACAGAGATCTGCCTGCCTCTACCTCCTGAGTGCTGGTATTAAAGGCGCGTGCTACCACCGCCTGATAAAAGCTATTTTCTTGGTTGCAGCCACTGAAGAAAAACTGGGAGGGTAGAATGGTGGCTCTGTGTGTGTGTGTGTGTGTGTGTGTGTGTGTGTGCGTGTGCGAAAAGTGCTCACACAGGATTGCAAACATAAGAACAAGATTTGTTGAGTGACAAACAGTACCTGCTATTCAAAACTGAATATGTCAGGTCCACTATGTGAACAGAATATATTCATTATTTTTTCGTCTTCTCTGGCAAATGCTTAACACATCAAATAAGTAGCCTTTGAAATATGAATAAATATCCCTACTTCTTAATTAATTCTAACTAATTCTTAATTCTAATTAGTAAAAGCCAGGTGGGGTAGCTCACACCTTTAATCCCAGTTCTCGGGAGGCAGAGGCAGGTGGATCTCTGAGTTCGAGGCCAGCCTGAGCTATACAGTTAGTTCCAAGGCAGCCAGGGCTACAATAATGATGATGATGAGTGAATGATACCAACATTTCAGTTGATGCATAGCTAACTTATTTACTTTCTTACTTTTGCAGTATTGGAGATTGAACTCCAAGGGCTTTGCACTTGATCTATCATTTAGATATGCTCCTGGCCCCCTTTCAACTGTTCTTTTCAGGTAGGGTCTCACTAAGTTAGATAGCATTGCTGTGAACTTGTGATTCTCCTAACTCAGACTCTCAAGGAGCTGTGATTACAGATACACATGAGCCATCAAGCCCAGCTCCCAACTTTAAAGGTAACAGAAATTAGTTACCAAGTTTGAGACAGGATATAATTTGTGAATTGGTTGTTAGTCACTGGATGCTGGGCTATCTGTTATCTGGTATGACATGCCATGTGCCTGTGGTTGTTGAATACACTGCTTTAGTCTCCTTAAACTTGACACTAACTCAGTTCAAAAGGCGTATTAGTACTTTTGTCCAACCACTATTCATTACTGATTAATTATATTCGCATATTACAGGACATGTTCTCTGTTCTAATATCTTCCTAGAAACAACTTGATTATTGCTGTTTGACCTAGAAATAAGTCTGAAAATTCTGATCAAAAATTTGATTCTGTGAAGTCTTTCTACATTTATTTACATACTGTTATAGACCTAGCAAATGTAAAGATTAATAGCTCTTCCAAAGGAACAAAGCTAGGTGGTACAATCTTGTCCTAAAACAACCAAGGTAGATAGTGGTAAAGGAATCATGTCAAACTACTATTGACTGATAGAATTCAGCATTAATATGGAAATGGTGATCAGCTATGACAGGAGTGAAGTTCACTGAGGAGGTTCAGAGGTTTTCAGAGTCAGAGCAGAGTCCCAACTTGGGTACTGCCACTTAGGAGCTTAGAGGTCATGGTGTAAAGAGCCTATTTATGTCTCTTTTTGGTCCTGATGCACTATTATAAAGTCTATATAAAAGGATTTATATCAAGTGTTCAAACAGTATCTGGATCACAGCAACTGCTAAATAATGATTAGTTAATAATTTGACCATTTAGCTCAATTCAATTTTGACTCTACACTCTGAACACCTCCCAGGAACTTTTAAAAGAAACCAGTGTAAGCAGCTCGTTCCAGATAAACTATACAGGGTCTCTGGGAAGAAGCCAGACATGGGTATCTTTAAAAAGCCTTCAAGGGATGCTCATCCACAGATTGGAGTACCACTGACAATCCCTTCTACAGAGTGCTGCTGCAGCTTTGAATTTCTGGCGCTAAGACTGCTAGTACCTTCCAAGCTAGATTGCTTCATCTTACAAAAGCATTTACTCACAAAGAGGCAATATCTGTCTCTGTACTTTCTATCACTGGCCCTTGTTTTGCTCCCTGGAGACATGAATAAGAAGGAGAGACCCTATTCTCCATGGCCTTGCAAAACACACTCATCTCTAGGTTAATTGCTTAGTTTTAGGTTACTTCAACTTATCTCTACAACATAATTTGAATTCCATTTCTCCCTGTTTGGTATATGGTCTTTCTTAAGAACACCACAAAGGATGATAAAAAAAAATGATATTGCAAGGGAGACTATCAGTCTGGGACAGGATCCAGGTCAACAGTAACAAGTTTCATTTAAAACACTACAGACTTATGAGTTAAACCAAAGATGGGGCTTTATCTATCTATCTATCTATCTATCTATCTATCTATCTATCTATCTATCTATCTATCTATCTATCTACCTACCTACCTACCTACCTCCCTCCATGGCTGTATTATATTGGGTTTCTGTGAATGCAGCTGAAGCTTCCAGTACTTGTACTTTTAATACTTTACATCTACTCTTCCCAAATTCTCTCTTTCATTCACTAATATTTATTGTTCTAAGCATCAGGACACAGAGGCAAACAAAACAGACTTGGTTCTTAATCCTAATGGGGGTTTAAAATATGCCAGGAAGAAAAACTACTTAGGGATCCCTATTCTAAGTCACTTCAGCTTCCTGAGCTGTCAGACATAGCACCCAAGTCTCAGCATCCTTTTACCTATGGATAGGAAGCTTTTACCTGAGCATCTGAGAGCTTCCTTTATAACCACACAATACAGGTTTCTTGCCATCTTACTAGCATGGCATGTTGCATTATCAGCAGCTTACTACCCTTCCTAGATTGTCTCTTCATTTTAAGATGTCAGATCACAAGAACCATTCCTGCATGTTCCTACAAACATTGTGAAATCTGTCTTCCTGCATCTCAGACACAGCACAGCCAAGCCTCAGTTCTTCCTTCATTCCTTCCTCCCAGTCCTTCTCCCTTTTTCCCCTCCATGGTCCTAAATTGTGGAGACAGTTATCAAGAAGGCTTAACAGAACTTCCTCCTCACCAGCCACTTCCTCTTCCTTGGAACCAACTCCTTCGCTCTGTCAAAATTTAAAGCTGAATGCTACTTTCTATTAAAAGCCTGTACTTAATTAACCAAAACATAGTTTTAGGAGAGGCTATATTCTTCCAAATATTTTTCTCTATATAGAGCATCAAATCAAGAAACTAATTACCCAAAGACAAATGTTGCATGTTTCTTCTCATACACAGAATCTAGATATAAAAATACAGTATGTAGAAGACATAAAGTCACGAGGGAGATAAAGTGGGAACAGAATGTGTCTAAGGGGGGGGGGAGAAAATAATAATGAGGTGGAGAAAAGATGATACTGCATATTTTCATAAATGTAGATTATAGAGTTAAATATCTGTCTATTCATCAATCCATATGATATCAAAGCAGAGCAGAACTACTGGGGGAGGGAAGCAGGGGGACAGGAGCAAGGACAAGGGAATGGTGGTGGTGAATATGAGCAAAGTACGATGGCACACATAAAAAAATTATATTTAGTGAAATACATTTTGTAGACTGACTAAAAATGCCTAATTTAAAAGGAAGCAAAAATTAAAAACAATTATTGCAGTGAGATGTGGCTCAGAATATTTGCCTAGTATGTGTAAAGTTCTAGGTTCACTCCTTAGCACCATAAAACAATGACAAGAAGAAATTAATTTTCATAATTAAGATCTACTCTTTATAGCTGCACAGTGGTGCTATGTGCATTTAATCCTGGTACTTGGGAGGCAGAGGCAAGTAGATCTCTTAGTTTGAGACCAATCTAGTCTAGAGTTCTAGGACAGCGAGGGATACACAGAGAAACCCTATCTTGATAAAACAAAAACAAAAATCTAGGTTCTTCATGATCAAACTAAATATCTCGCAGCCATATAAGTACTGCTTGGATATTAAGGGCAATACAACAACATCGGATATTAACAATATTAATGTAGAGACCATACGCTCAGTAAACATTTTTAGAGGAGTGTGTATTTAAACCCTAAATGTAGTAATAAAGAGTAGATTGGTGTGTTTTGTTGTTTTATTTTGTTCTAAAAGTGTGTGTGTGTGTGTGTGTGTGTGTGTGTGTGTGTGTGTGAGAGAGAGAGAGAGAGAGAGAGAGAGAGAGAGAGAGAGAGAGAGAGAGACATGAATGTGCCACCACATACATCTGGAGGTCAGAGAACAACTTGTGGAGTCTATTTTCCCCTTCTACCATGCAGGTATTATTGGAGATCAGATTCAGGTAATCAGGCTTGGCAGAACAAACTTTACCCTACTGAGCCATCTCATCTGCTCTCTGCTACCATGAAAGGGTTTTATGGAAAAACAGGGCCATTACTTACTATATGAAAGGAATGTGAGGAGACATGCTTGAATTATCCTTACATACGTAATAGGTCCCAACAGTCAATGCCTGAGAATTGTTCAATAACAAGTAGTTCTGGGACCAAGTAGAATTGACATACTTAGAAGGTTCTGGTAACAATCACAAATGATATAATTCAGAGCATAATTAACGTTTAGTTAGTTAACCTCTCATAACCTTGGACTCCATGTACTATTTCCCATCTATATTACTGCCTTCCGTCTATATTACTGCCTCATGCTTCAAGGGTGGGAGTGGTATGTTGGCTGCTATCTGATCTTGTATTATATGACCACTGTATTCTCCTGTGAAGTGCTACAAGAATCTATGAACTGAGGCAGGTCCTGGCCTTGGTCTGTTTTGATAAGTGTATATTTCTATAGATAAGTAATTTTAATACTCCTGTCTTGGTTTTAGGTGAAGGAAGAAATTTGGGATCCTCTTTTCTAGTCTCTCCGTGAAAACAGAGATGACTACAGCTTATCCAATACATACCATGTGGCAATGTATATCAAAATGAATGGATGCCAACTATAAGGGGAAGAGGAAGGACAGGAAACATTTCTGAAGCTGGGTAGGGTCAGCAGGGGACTCAGCTCACCCATGAGACAACAAGCACCTTTAGGGTAAATTTATATTCATCCTTGAAAAATATGAGCTGCTATTTCTTTTTAATGTCTCTATTCCCATAACAATATTGCTAAGAAATGATGCTCATGTGGTTCAATTATTTATTTTAATATAAAAATGAAACAAACTTCGTACATATGCCATAGCAACAGAAAAGGTTAGAGATCCTGCTGTATTTACTGCTGTTTTGTGATGCAACAATGCAACTGCAACTACACATTGTGTAGGTAGCCAAATGGTCCCAGATGAAACCCTTATTTATGCTTTACGTTAAAGCATCTGCTATTATCACAGCAAATGACTCAATATTTGCATTCTATTGTAGGAAAACATGAAAAAATAAAGAAGTACACACAAAGAGCATGTCATTTAATACTCTGTTCTGATAGCTACAGAAGACACTGAAAAGTCACACTGTAACAATGACGACTACTTCAGTTGACAGCTGGCCTTGCTCCTCCTTTGGAATGCACTTTATACGCAACTACAGTGATGAATCCTCACAAAATTTCTCTGCAGTGCCAAATGATACTAGCTGTCCAATGGATGAAAAATTACTATCTACAGTGTTAACAACCTTCTACTCTGTTATTTTCATCGTGGGACTGGTTGGGAACATCATTGCCCTCTATGTATTTCTGGGCATCCACCGCAAAAGAAATTCCATTCAAATTTATCTACTTAATGTGGCCATTGCAGACCTTCTACTCATCTTCTGCCTCCCTTTCCGCATAATGTATCACATCAACCAAAATAAGTGGACATTAGGTGTGATTCTTTGCAAGGTTGTGGGGACACTATTTTACATGAACATGTACATTAGTATTATTTTGCTTGGGTTTATCAGTTTGGATCGCTATGTAAAAATTAACCGGTCTATACAACAAAGGAGGGCAATAACCACCAAGCAAAGTATATATGTTTGTTGTATAGTATGGACAGTTGCTCTTGCTGGATTTTTAACTATGATCATTTTGACACTGAGGAAGGGAGGGCATAATTCCACAATGTGTTTCCATTACAGAGATAGGCATAATGCAAAGGGAGAAGCAATTTTTAACTATGTTCTTGTGGTAATGTTCTGGCTTATTTTCCTGCTGATAATCCTCTCGTATATTAAGATTGGCAAGAATCTACTAAGGATTTCTAAAAGGAGGTCAAAGTTTCCTAATTCTGGTAAATATGCAACAACAGCTCGGAACTCCTTTATTGTACTGATCATTTTTACTATATGTTTTGTGCCTTATCATGCCTTTCGATTCATCTACATTTCTTCACAGCTAAATGTGTCTTCTTGCTACTGGAAGGAAATTGTTCATAAAACCAACGAGATCATGCTGGTTCTCTCCGCTTTCAACAGCTGCTTAGATCCAGTCATGTATTTCCTGATGTCCAGTAATATTCGCAAAATCATGTGTCAACTTCTTTTTAGAAGATTTCAAAGTGAAGCAAGCAGAAGTGAAAGTACTTCAGAATTTAAGCCAGGATATTCCTTGCATGATCTATCTGTGGCAGCCAAAACGCAGTACAATACTAAGGGTAGTTAAGGCAAATGTGCTAAAAAAAAAAAAAAAAACCCAAAACCCAAAAGCCAAAAAACAAGCAAGCAAGCAAACAAACAAACAAAAAACGACATAAACCGGCTTCTTCATTCCTTGAAGTTGGTAAAATTATGGAACAAAGCCCTAGCATATCCAAAACCCAGATCTTTAGACGTGATCTTCCACTTGTTTAACTGTAAAATAGTTCAAGGCAAAGAAAAGCTTACATTTATCCCTAGATTTTAGAACTGTATGTAGAATATTGTTAACACTTTTAACATCAGTTATAAAGTTAAGTGAAATTCATGAATTTAACAACAAAATGAATGAAGTGTCATAGTTTTTCAAGTCACTAAAGAGCTACTAAAATTAGGCACTTGATACTAATTTTAAATATGTTTAACAATAAAGCAACTTGGGGACTGTGTTGAAATGTCAGAAAACATGTTTGTTACTTCAAAGTGTTTATCACTTGCACCTGTATGCATTTATGCCCAAATCTCTGCTAACAAATGAATTAATAAAATTCTAATAAAGTGAGACCACCCACTATCACTGCTTAGATAAAAATGGGAAGAATTTAAATACGAAATATATAAGCTAAGAATTTGATAACCTGGCAAAGGGACTGACTTAAGGCAGATTCCTAAATGATTCATCCACCTAACACTCTGATAGAGAAAGAGGGTGCGCATGCAATGACATGGCCCAGGAAGTCCACTGCCAGGTACAGCTCTTACAGAAGCATGCAAATTCATACAGAAGAATATATGTACAATGACGCTCAGTTGTCTTGACTGGGAACAATTAAGGATGTACCAGGAAAAGCATGAAGAAGCAAAATGGTTTATTTATCACATGAAGTACCTTTAACACTTCAATGCAATAAATACACACACACATGCATCAAACATGGGGATGTCTCAGAAATTGAGTGGGCTGGAAAAATGTTAGGACCCTGGCTGCTCTTCCAGAATACCTGGGTTGGATTCCTAGCATCCACATGGTGGCTCACAATCATCTGAAACTCCAGTTTCTGGTGATCCAAACCCTCTTCTGGGGCAATATGCAAATGTGGTACACAGACATACATGCAGGCGAAGTACTCATCCCCATAAAAAATAGTACTATGTTAAAAAAAAGTAGTATTGAGTGAGAAAGAAAACCACACAGAAGAGTAAATCATTTTTGTAAAAGATTAAAACACTATAATTTTCTTTATGTATACACAATAAAAATTCAAAGCATGAATGAAATACAGAACATATATAGCAATTTAAACTTAATGGTCACATGTGAAGAGTTTTGACACAAACATGCTAGAAGTTTAATGTCTATTAAATCCAGGTGCCTAAGTGTCACTTTGACAAATTTCTGAGTAAAAGACTTTGTACAGCTGCAGGTTAAAATTAAGAGGGGCAAACCGAAAACTTTATGTATGTTCAAGAACAAATAGTAAGCTTAAGGAGAAGGGGCTTATCACTAACTCCTACATCAGTGTAGCTTGGCAAGTCAGAAACCACTAAATATTTTCCAAGTAGTTGAATGAACAAAGGAAGAAAAGCTAGATGGATAAATAAGATGGAAAGGAAAAGATGTTTAAAGAAAAATGGGCATAATTAGCCTTTTCCAAGGCTCCATTATTCTGAATAGAGTAGAAGGAACATTGTACATTGCAATCTAGAAAGGAGGTATCCTTAGGGAAACTGCAAAAATTTGGCAAGTGTCTTTACATTTTTTTTTTTTTTTTGCTATACACAGAATCAGAATGCCATTGTTTGAATATGTAAAAGGCTGTTGTGACAAACTCCAAGAATGTATGATATGATGATATGTTTCTCCCAACAGAGCTATTTTGGCACCTAGTTGACAAAGACAATGACTACTACTACCTTTTTTTTTTTTTTGGAGATGGAATCTTACTACGTATCCCTGGCTGGCCTGGAACTTGCTATGTACACAAAACTGTCCTTGAACTCACAGAGATCCGCATGCCTTTGCCACCTGAGTGCTGGGATTAAAGGTGTGTGTCATCACATTCAGGCTAGAATACTTCTTAAAACTTGAGTTAGGCCACTGGCTGGGAAATCAATGTCAAAAAAACATTAAGTATTTAGAATGCAGGTAGGAATTTACTGGTTTAAGTACAGTAGCAGTAGTAGGTTCTCCTCTAAAACCCATGACCTCACTAGTCCTGGAGAACTGCCGAGGTTTCCAGTATCAGACATGATTTCCTTCCTGATGATCAGGCTTTAAATCCAACGAGAAAGCTGTTGGTTACTATCAAAATATGTGTCACTCTTGAACCTTTAGAGATGTCTTGTCATGCTGGTTTATATTATGGCTCACAGGTATCACATCTGAGTAGAATTACTGGTTGCATCACTCTCTTGGCAGCTTGTAAAGTACTTTCTGGCCCTCAAAGATAAAGCTTTCAAATCAGATCCAGTGGGGCTCTCAATACCCCTTATGCCCACAGAGAAGTGGCTTTCACCCCTCAAAGAAGCTTCTTTTGCAGCAGACAGAGACCACTGCAAAAAGCACCACCTTGTCAAAATGTAGAGAGCAACTGATCATGGGCTGCCCAGCCCCAACTCTATCTACAAAACAACCCCTATATCCTAGGGATCAGGGAACATTGTGGGAGAGGGGTGTGAAAATATTTTAAGGACCAGAGGACCAGTAAATCCTTTGAAAGACAATATCTTCTAGATAGGACACAGAAATTACACCTAAGAAATCTCAACATTATGGCTGCTTTAGCAAGACTTGAATAATGACACCAGTTGACTTGGCAACATGGATGAAGGAAATGTCATGGGACCACACCCCCAGATGAAGACGTACAGACAGTTAACGACTGCCAAGCGAGGGAAAACTAGTCTTCCTCATGGAGGTGCCCCTAACTAATTATCTAGTACCAAGTGATTAACCCTGAAATCATATACACATAAGCAATACTAAGCAGAAGTGGTATGTTGTATTTATACATATATGTGAAACAGTTTTAATTGTTGTCCTGACATGGTATCAAATATTATCTAGATGAAATTTAGTACCTGTTTGTATAATTTTAAATAATGAAAAATTAGATCCTATTAATGGTAAGCATTCCATACCTCTTAATGTCCTATTAGTAAGCACAGTTTAAATATTATCAAGAGCCGTAGATATGGCTCAGTGGGTGTATTGACTAGTTTATGTCAACTTGACATAAGCTAGAGTCATCAGAGAGGAGGGACCTCAATTGAGAAAATGTGTCCTGAAGTTGGGGCTGTAGGCAAATCTACAGGGCATTTTCTTAGTTAGTGATTGATTGTGGAGGACCCAGCCCATTGTTGGTGGTAAAGTGGTCCTGGGTTTTATTAGAAAACAGACTGAGCAAGCCATTAGGAAGGAACTCCTCCATGGTGTCTGCTTTGGCTCCTGCTTCCAGGTTCCTGCCCTGACTTCCTTCAATGATGAACAGTGATACGGAAGCACATAAGCTAAACAAACCCTTTCCTTCCCAAGTTGCTTTGCTCATAGTGTTTTATCATAGCAATAATAACAAGAAGGAAAACAGTGGGTAAGAGCTGTAACCTGAGCATATGACAGAGTGGGTGCAGAGGCAGGCAGATCCTGGGAGCTTGATGGCCAGCTGGTCTGGCCAGTAGATAAAGCAGGAGTGCACATACCGGAACACATATGCATGCATAACCATAACACACATACACACTCACATGTGTGCAGGCATGCATTCCAGCACACATACTATACTACACATGGTATACTATCTATTACTATAATTTTAAGGACCATTAAAATAAAATACTCATAGTTTTAGAAACTATATCATTATTTATACTAAATGAAACAATCTCAAGACCATTAAAATAAAATACCCATAGTTCTGGAAACTATCCCATTATTTATACTAAATGAAACAATCTCTATAAAATATTTGTGAAAGTTTACTAAATTATCTTATGCTATTTTAAATAAAGTAAATAAATCTACAAAACAACCCCTAATACCCTAGGGGTTGAGATTTCTTAGGTATAATTTCTGTGTCCTATCTAGAAGATACTGTCTTTCAAAGGATTTACTGGTCCTCTGGTCCTTAAAATATTTTCACACCCCTCTCCCACAATGTTCCCTGATCCCTAGGGTATAGGGGTTGTTTTGTAGATAGAATAAAGTTTTGAATAAAGTCTATCCACCTGTAATATCATAATGGGTTATTTAGTGATAGATATTTCATCTATAAATATTCCTTAAAATAATCTGAATCCTGAGAATAGTTTGAGAGTTTCAAAAAATATGCTACAGACTCACTAAATTTGGAGCTATTTATTACATACATATAATCTCTTCTTTCTTTCTGAGCATTGGTGTATGTACATAGGACATACTGTCCTTCTATCTTGTCAACACAGGGTTAGTTCTAGATACACACAGAAAGGAAATTCAGAAGTACATGCGTATCTTCATCTTGCAAAATATCTGCAGCCAGAACAAGCTTCTAAACAATATCTCACATGTGCAATGCCATAGAAGGACAACATGAATTGCCTGATTCTGTGAATGACACTTCAATTGATGCTAGTTTTGGGAAAGTATTCTGCACAGAGTCAGGTTAGATGTAGAAACAGATGTCTGTTTAGAAAAAGACAGTTCTACACAAGCCTTGATTTTTAACTTAAAAAATGGATTAATCCTGCTTATACAAAAATACAATTACTAAAATTATAACAATTTCAACTAAAAGCCATTGAAAATTACTCATAAAACACAATATAGAATTTTCTCAACAGACAATATGGATGCTGCAGAATTATTGTTTAGGTATCTAAAGTAACACTGAGCATACCTAATTTTAAAATCTGAAAGCCAAAATGCTCTCAAATCTGAAACGTTTTAAAACTGCAGGTACTGGAATTTTAGGGTAAAGTGTATGCAGATGTTCTCAGATCAGAACTCCAAAATCAGAAACACTTATGGCCCTAAACATTTCAGATAAGGGATACCTAATCTGATAACAGAAATTTACTTTACTGATACCGAATATATTCTTATCCTCAATAAGAAACAAGGGAGCAGACATGGAGAACAATTGTGATGATGTGAGGGGAGTGTGTGGTATGGGAATGGCTCTCAGAAGGGGATAGAAACTAATCAGAGGGAGACCCAAAGCTTTGTTAGTTAAGGTATGCATGGTTTTGAAAAGCTTCCAAGGTGACTGTCATAAATCCCTCTCTCTGAGAGATAATCACTGCAAATAAAGGAACCATCACAAAAAGCCTCAAGACGGAAGAGATGGCTTAATGAAAATTGCTGTGCAAATTTAAAATAAAAAGCCAATTTACAACATCACCTTGTATCACATTAAAGCAATTATAAGTTAGTTGTAAATAAAGAGGCCATAAACATTTAAAAATCACAGATGCCAAGATCATCTGTGGATGATTAGAAATAGAAAACTTGGAGTAATTTTCTATTAATGCAATGATTGCAATCTCTAGAGAGAAATGTCCATGTCATGGCCTGGCTGAGCGGCT